GGCCTGGAGTCACAGGTAGAGGGTTGCACCCCCCGCCCCCCCCACCCGCCTGGCTTCACGCTGAAGCAAAGACCGGGCTATGGTGGCAGCTTGTGTGGCTGTCTACATAGGTCACTCTCCATAGGACACATTCCATTCCAGAACCTGCTTTCGTAACTGTTGGGAGAGAGTGACTTGGTTTTCACGTGTGCATCTTGCCCCCTTAGAGTTCAGAAGCCGGCAGATCCCCGCCAGTACTTGTTCCGGTTCCCTCTTCCCGGCTCTGGAGAGCGCAGGGCCTCTGGCTTCCTTCCCCAGCGAGCCCACTCCGGGAACGAACCCTGGCATCCTGATGGGAGCGCAGCAGGCAGGTGAGGCGGCAGAGACACGCCAGAGCTGCTGGAACCACAGACCTGGCATGTCTCCGATGTGTCCAGGTGACCATGTAGTCAAGCATTCTTCATAATCAGTCAGGGGGCTGCTATCTTTTTCTATAATGCCTTTACATTTTATCTTGAATGTGTAATACTTTTCAACAAAGAATGCTAGGTTTTTCATTTAATTTCAGAGCTTTTCTTTGTTCCTGTTTGATACACAGTGGGATCACCTGGTGAGGACACATGCAGGATCCCTCTGCAGCAATCCCCAGCCCCCTACATAGCATAGAGCTCTCTATGTAAAGGTGCTGAGTCAGAGTTTGAACGAATTGCTAGAAGGGGCGGAAAAGCCCACATTGCCACCGCCATTCATCCTGTGCTTGGCTCACCCCTGCTTTGTGATCACCTTGAAGCTCAACAACCATGCTGTGAGCAGGCATCAGTTTCTGCATTTTACTGATTGGGAAGGTGAGGCTCATTGAGGCTGGGTGCTTGCCTATGACCTCGTGGGCAGGAGAAGGTGGAGGCAAGAGGTGACATTCGGTGTTTCTGATTCACATGCTTGGCATCTTGCCATGGTGCACAGACTTACTAAGCATGGTGATTGTCATCACAGTAGATACCAGCCTTCCCGAGCCTCAGGAAGGTCACTGGTTGTTTTCATGTCTCCTGCCCAGAGGGTCTATAGAGGTGCATTGGCCCTGAGAGGGAGCCAGTGCCCTTGTACCTACCTGGCCTCTCTATCCCCTGGGCACGGGTCTGGGACGTACTCTCCTCCAGAGGCCCAGAGCTCCTCACTGCTTCCCCATGCCCAGGCCCCCTGTGCCTCTGCCACCATGGACTGAAGAGCCTGCTGTTTTTGCTGTCTGGGTGCCTGGGTGTAAGCTCCAGTGCTGCCACCTTTCAGCTGAGTGATTTGGGGCAACTCAAGCCCTCTGAACTTCCATTTTCTTGTCTGTAAAGTTGGAAAGTCTCTTTTGTCTAATTTGCAGGGCAGTTGTAGGAATCAAATAAGATGGTAGCATGAGCAAGTACTCAGAGCGTGCCACATGCCAGGCACCATTCTCAGCACTTTTTTCTGCTAACTCATGTCATTGTCACAGTTGTTACAATGACCAGCCCCGTTTTCTAGATGAGGACACCGAGGCATAGGCGGTTAAGTAAGTGTCCAGAGTTGCACAGCTGGGAAGTAGTGGAACTGGGCTCAGACACATGTCATCTGGCTTCAGATCCACCCTCCTAAACCCGCTGGAAACATTCAATGCCACTCCTGACCTGAGCTCTTTCCAGACCATTGTGGTTGACGTGGGCAACCTAAACAGTTTGGTCAGCCCCAGGAGACTAGAAGCCAGGATTGCCCCCAGAATTACCCTCAGACCTGGGAGCCCTGGGTCCTATGAACAGCCTGCACCCAGGTAGCTGCAAACCCGACTGCTCTCCTAGACTCCAGATGTATTAGTCCATTTTCATACTGCTATGAAGACGTACCAAGACTGGGCAATTTATAAAGGAAAGTGGTTTAACGGACTCACAGTTCTACATGGCTGTGGAGGCCTCACAATCATGGCAAAAGGCAAAGGAGGAGCAAAGGCACGTCTTACATGGTGGCAGGCAAGAGAGCCTGACCTTTATAAAACCATCAGATCTCTTGAGACTTACTCACTATCATAAGAGTATGGGGGAAACTACCCCCACGATTCAGTTACCTCCCACGAGGTCCCTCCCATGACACAGGGGGATTATGGGAGCTACAATTCCAAGTGGGATTTGGGTGGGGACACAGCCAAAACATATCAACCAGAGGTCTTGAGAGAGAATGTAGAAGGAAGCAGAAGTTTCAGGTGTGGTCCTGGAATTCAGAAAGTCCCCCGGTCCTTCTTTCACTCAGGCTGTGTGTCCAATGAGGTGTGAGCAGGAGGGTACATGTTCCTATGTGTGCATGTATATAGGTGTGTGTGCATGTGTGTGCTTGTGTGTATGCAGGAGTGTGTGCAGGAGTCCATGTGCACGTGTGTGTGTGTGTGTCTGCATGTGTCTTCTCAGTGCAGCAGAATCACTGTTGGGAATTCTGACCTCCCGATGAGACTTGCTGGGGAAAAGCGACTTTGTGAAACTGCAAGGAAAATGATTTCCTCCTTGTCTGGCACCCAGGGCATTCTTGTGAACTGACTCTCCTCTTTGCCTTCTATCTGCTTTCAGGACCAGCTTCTGATCACCCCTCACTAAGTGCAGCAATGGGTCCGGCTGTTTTCAACGGCAAAGATTCCCCGAAGTGCCAACAGCTGGCAAAGAATAACCTGTTGACCCTGCCGCGTCCGTCGGCTTTAGGTAGCGCTGCCTGTCCTGGCCATCCTGGGGATCCTGCTCTTCTCTGGGCCAACGCCAGAGGGGGCATGGGAGCTGCTGGGCTGGGGCCGCTGAGCCTCCTGGAGTCTGGTGTGGCTTCCATGAGAGTCAGGCCAGGACCACAGGTGCCTCCTGAGTCCATGGGTCTCGGCCTGGTGCCTCCTGAGTCCGTGGGTCTGGGCCTGGTGCCTCCTGAGTCTGTGGGTCTGGGCCTGGTGCCTCCTGAGTCCGTGGGTATGGGCCCAGGCCCTGGTGCTGTATGAGTGACACTTGGGAGATGTCATGTGTGCCAAGGAGCAGTGAGACACCTGTGGTGATGGCAAGTGACCTGTCCTTTGGGCTGCGCAGCTGGAGGACGGTAGAATTTTGTAGCAATAGTGGGCGGTGTGTTGCTGGGGAAGAACCTGGGCTTCTGAATCAGATAAATACGAATTCAAAACCTACCGCTGTCTCTTGTTAGTCAGGGGAGCTTGGCCAAGTCTCAATAAATGTTTTTTCATCTGGAGATGAGAATTCTGCTCCAAGGGTTAAGAGGGATGAGGTGCTGTATGAAAGGTCAGAGCACACCTGGCAGCTCACTAATTCATACCAGCTGTTCCTGTTCTCATCCAAATCAGCATCATCACTGAGGCTGGTCTGTTCAGGTAAGGCTTCCTGGAGGAGGCGATAACTGAGCTGCAACTTAGAAGTTGGGGAAGCATCATGTAGAGGTGGAATGGGAGAAAGAGAGCAAAACAGGATGAGGAGGTGAGGATACAGATGAGAGAGGTGAGTGAAGGAGCTGAGCAGACCTCCTGCCAGAGGAGAGTTTGAGGAAGCTGTCAATGGGCGGAGCCACCTGGGGACCTGCTTGTGGATTCCCAGTCCAGTGCTCTCCCCACCATGCTCAACTGGAGCCACTTCATAAGCCATTCTCGTCTTTCCTTCCTCCATTATGCACTCCGCCAAATTGGATTTGAGGATCCGCGACATCAAACGGGAGGAGCCCTTAGAAACCATCTAGGCCAGCGCTGTTTTACAGGGGAGGAGACAGAGGTCCAGAGAGGCAGGGCCAAGCCTAGAATCCAGTCTCCATGCTCCCACTCCACGTGCTGGTGGAGGACCTCCCTGGTGAAAATCTCGTGAATTGTCTCATTCTTCACTGAAGGAGCGAATGTAGTTCCAACCAGCGCCTCCATCCTGGAGCCCGAACCCGTAGCAGCCGAGTCCCAGGCAGTAGCCGAGTCTCGTCCTCCAGAGCAGCCAAGCCGCAGGCAGCCTTCTGCTTTCTTCCAGGGACTGCTGCTTCTCTGCCGGGTGCTGCCTTGAGGACAACCCTCTGGCTGCAGAGCTGGCCCCCCGGGGCTGGGGATACTAGGCTGCTGTTGCCTCCCTTCTGGGCTGAGGTCTGTGGACCCCCAGCCTCCACACTGAACAGCAGGGAGACGAGGGCCTCCCTCAGCCCGGGACCCTGTGAAGGTGGCCCTAGGAAGCCCCCTGTGTGGACTGACTGCATTTTCCTTGCCATGCTCCGTGGAGGGGTGTGAGAGATGGAGCTCCTCCAGATTGCCCAGGGAAGCACACAAGCCTTTCCAGAATCTGACCCTGGCCCACCTGCTGAACCTCATTCCCTGCTGTTTTGGCTGCTCTGGGCAGCTCAGTTCCCACCCCCGTGGCCCCGTCTCCTGTCTCTGTGCCCTGTGCCTGCTTCCCAGCTCTGGGCTGCCCTCTACACCCACCTATTAAACCGCCTTTCTGAGGTTACTCAGGGAACACCTGCTCCATGCAGGAGGGCTCCCTGTGAGCGCATGGGGCTCCCAGCCATCCCAGGCTCAGTCCTGCAGCCACGTGTGGCTCTCAGGGCCTTGACGCTGTGCAGTTCCCGAGGGCAGCACTCTGGTCATGTGCATCTCAGAGCCCCGGTACCAGCTTCTGGGAAGCCCAGCTAGTGGGCATGACGCTGGCTGGGTTGCGTTGCGTGGAGCACAGCTGAAGTGTTGGAGTTCCTGGGCCTTCTCGTCTGTTCTGAGGAGAGAGCTCAAAATCAATTTTTAAGAAACTGTGTCTCATACCACTTGGAGTTTACTGAAGCCTTGAGGCCTGTCACTCAGGCCAGTCACTGGTTCGCAATGGAGAAGTGCTGCCCCCTGGGGGCAGGGTGGGAAATGCTCTGGTAAAGGATGGATTTGTTGTCCCAGACACAGGGTCCTACTGGCATTTGGTGCTGGGACAGAGTGGGCAGGCTGGAACGTCCTGCACCAAGCAGGCTACATAATGAATCGTCTCCCACACTGCCACATAGTACCTCCCCAAGAGACATTTTCAGAAATAGTCGATCCGCACTGGTACCATGGGAGCAGCTCCTGGTGACATCATCTGGGAAGAGCTCATGGGCTTAGGGTCTACTTAGAGCTATCTACAGAATTAGCTTCCCAAAGTGAGAAAATACCTGCATCTCTTCCATCCTTACTGAGACCCGGTTCCGAGCCCTGTCCCCTCTGGACGATCAGCAGAGCTTTTAGAGGAGCTGGCTGCTTAGCCCCTGTGGAGGGCCTCCCATTGCAACTAGCGACAGATGTTTGCAGTGTCAAAGGCCTCATCTCTGCAGACAGGGATGAGGAAAACAGCAGCTGCCTCAGTGGTTGTTGGGAGGGTGAAAGGAGCCCACGGGTTTGAAAGCTCTTTGTAAACAAAGTACTTTCTGCTTTTAACTTTTTATTTACTTTGACTCAGTCTGATGAGGTGAAAATATTTTTTTGGATTACTCTTAAGAGACTGTAAAGCAATGATTCTCACCCTGCAGTGTGCTTAAGAATTACCAGACTGGCTGGGTGCAGTGGCTTACACCTGTAATCCCACACTTTGGGAGGCTGTGGCAGGCAGATCACCTGAGGTCAGGAGTTCGAGACCAGCCTGACCAACGTGGTGAAATCCCATCTCTACTAAAAATACAAAACTAGCTGGGCATGGTGGTGCATGCCGTTAGTCCCAGCTAGTCGGGATGCTGAGGCAGAATCGCTTGAACTTCGGAGGCGGAGGTTGCAGTAAGCTGAGATTGCACCATTGCACTCCAGCCTGGGCAATGAGAGCAAGACTCCATCTCATAAAAAAAGGAATCACCAAGCTGGCTTATAAAGGATGGTATTTTCTTACTGTTGTTTCCAGAGATGTGATTCTGGAGGTCAAGGCGGGGCCCAGGGACACACAGGTTTAACAGGCCCATGTGGGTTCTGTGCAGCAACTCGGGTCACACCTGCAGAATCGTTGCTCTGATTGGTGCCTCTCCACTCGGGCCATGCATTAGAATCACGGGGAAGCTCTGAGATATTGGGATGCCTGGGTCCTGCTCCCATGATGGGCTTCTGGTTTACCTGGGACGGGGCTGCATCCAGAGTTTTAAAAGATTCCCGGGTTAGTTAAATGTGCAGCGGAGGCTGAGACGTGAATCTCTACACGTAGGGGAAATTTTGTATCTGGTTAGTCAAGAAACTATGGAAACCAATTCTTGGTGTTTCAAACCATTCACCAAGATAGCTTGAGTCATGAGCATGCTGTTATCTAGAGTGGGTGGGGATGACTCATTGCAGTGGGTGCCAGCCTCTGTACTTGATTTTTTTGAGTCTTAAATTAGCTTTCCAGGCTGGGGCAGGGAGGGGAGCACAGGCAGATCAGTACTGCCCCCAAGCGGTGGAGCTGTAGTGGTGGATCAAATGCTGCTGTCGCCTGTGCGGAAACGTATTTCTCTCTTCCAGCCCTTCAGAAGTGGATTGGAATATGTCGGTAACAGCAATGATGGTGGTGAAGATGATGATGTGGGGAATTCTGGCTACCATGTGGGGCCCAAGCTCCCTGCAGTTCATTGCACAAAGTGCTCTGCATACATTCTCTTTAATTCTGATCCAACCACCTTTCAGAGTAGGGTTTAGTGTCCCATTTTAAAGACGAAGGTGCTCAGACTCAGAGAAAGTTGAGACACACACAGCTTTGGAATGAAACATTTACAAAAATCGACATTTCCTTATGCCTAGATATTTTGCTAGGTCCTTAAAACCCATGTGAAACTGTGATTAGCAAAAAACAAGATAAAACAGATCATTGTTCTCCAAACCAATGGAAAGATTTATTGGAGCTCTTTCCTGGTAATAGCCTAATCCACACTCTGAATATTGTCTAGGTATCTTGTCAAACTCCGGGCCCCCCAAAAAACGCCACAAAGGGTGGTCTCCAGAATCTCCATCAGCTCCAGATGGTGGCTACCCACAAGGTGGTGGGAACAGAGCTAAGTATGGTAAGTGATGGCAGCCTCGCCCGGAATTCCAGACCCGGGTACTGGTGGTAGTGCTGCCACCAGTTGTGTGTGTGTGTGCATGTGCATGTGTGTGAATGTGTATACTGGTGAGGGAGTTCTAAGGAGGCAGTGTTTGGTGTAAGAAAAGATCTCTCTCTCACATGTTAGAATTGCTTTATACGGTGTAGGATCCCTGTATAGTGGTGAGTTCTTTCAGTGTTGAGAAATTTTAAAAGAGGCTGTTTATCACTTGGCAGGGATATTGAAGAAGAGACTAAATCACTGGGGGAAGGATGGACTGAATGAACTTAAAGGTGCCCTTGACCTTAGGAATCTGTGACTTTAAGAGTTTGGTGCTCCTGTAATCAAGGACATTGGTTGGGGGTAGCACGGCTGGCCGGCCTGATGTCAGGTGTGTGAGAGGCAGATGCCTTGTCTGATGTCTTTACTAACGTTCTTGGGTGTTCCTAGAGAGCGCAGGCATGTCCTGCATGCCCCAGGTTGGCTTGGTGGGAGCAGCTTCAGTCACCTTTCCAGTGGTGACCTCTGGAGAACCTGTGTCTGTTCCTGACAACTTGCTGAAAATATGCAAGGCCAAGCCAGTGATATTTAAAGGCAAGTACAGCAGTGCTGTGAGTCGTGGGGATGGGAGAGCCTAAAGGAGGGGACAAGAAATGGGCAACTGTGAGACCTCATCCTGGGCCGACTCCAGGGCACCCTCCTGAGACAAACCTAAAATGCTCTCCAGGGCAAGGAAAGAACAGGGCAGAGCCAGTCACTAGTTCAGCCCCCGATCAGATGCCAGGAATGATGGTGCTTGTCACAGCTTTCCACAGTGGTCCAGGTGAAACCAGAACAGCTGGCACATGGAAACACACACTTACATACATACACACGATTCCCTGCCGTGAAGTCCACATTCCTGTTCACTCATTCTTTCCTTCATTTGCTCCGCTTCACTCAGCTTCTGGTCCCAGCACTTCACTCAGGCCTGGTCCCAGGCCTGTGCTGAGTGCTGAGGATTAGGAAAAAGCAAATCACTCCCTTGCTGTAGGAGCCCTGCTTTGGTGGGTTATCCTGTTGTTACCCATGCCACTAGTTTTTTTTGACTAAGAAATCTACTTTGGCCAAAGATAGCCATGGTCACTCCTGTAGAAGCATCAAGTAAAATTAGATTTCGTCTGTTCAGTGCAGTGGGCTAACATATGCTATGTAGGGGTAGACTTTTGGCTCAACTGAAGAAATCCCATGGATGAATCTGGAGACCTTGCAATGGGAAACCCTGGGGGATTCAGCAGGTCTTGACTGGTGATTGTAGGTACCAGAACGGCTGACACATGGTGACACACACATACATACCCACGTGGGCATTGCACGCACACACCAGGCACACACGCAGTGCACGCAGACCCCTCCTAAATATGTTATTACTGTATTTGGTATCATGCTCGTTGGTTAGAGAAGGGAGGATTTTAGGAAAGTGGGAGAAGCATCCTACTGATAATTAAGAAATATTAAAGAACATGTCTTTTTTCCTAAAAAAACGAAGAACGGGCAGAGTATTCAGGATGTAGAGTGCAACTCTGAGTTTTGACTTTAACATGACACAGGGCAATGACTGAGGCACTTCCATGGGATTCCACGGTCTACCTAAAATGAAGGGCAGCATTCTTTCAGTCATGTTGCATGTATTTTTCATGTGGCCATCATGTGTCTGTGTTAGGCCCCAAGAACACGATGCTCAGGCAACAAAGCTGGGACAGGGTGCAAGGCATGGCAGTGCAGGTGGGGCTTCACACGCAGCGGCTTTGAGCAGGAGCCTCAGAAAAGAAAGCCTGGCCGGTCTAGGTCTCACACTAACGATCCAGAACAGAGACTGTCCAATTCGCAGGTGTGCTCCGTTCCCTCCACTGCCTCTGTTTACGCTGCATCCCTTGCTGTAAAGTGCTTGCCTCCCTGATTCCTGTTCCCCACAGTCATGTGTCCAAGCCCTGCCGAGGCTTTAAGACTCCACCCTATGCCTTCTCCATGAAGCTGTCTTAGAGTCCCTTTCCTCCACCCCCCCTTGTCACTTCTATGTTCCTCTTTTATGACAAATGTCACGTGCTTGCTTTTATAGTAACTCTTTCCCTAGCCTCTTGCCATCCGTAATATTTGTAAGTGGTGCTACCCAAATGGTAGCCCCTGGTCCAGCAGCACCTGCATTGCCCTGGAGCGTATGAGAGGCATGAATTCACGGGCTAATCCCAGATTCAGAATTAGGCCCGGGTTCTGCATCAGAAGCTCTGGGTGGGGCCAGCAGTGTTTGAGAAGCCCTTGAGAAGCAATGTCTTTGAAATCATGACCTGTGTCCCAGGTACCAGCTTTACTCCCTGAGCCTAGCAGGATGCCTGCACGTAGCACACAGCCGAAGCCAGAAAATGTGTTTTTGGTGACTAAATGGAGTACCCAGCATGCAAGATACACGCCCCCCCCCCAAACACACACGTGCCACCTTTGGGAGCTCAGCAGCCCCAAGAAGATTTGACAACTTCACCTGGTTTTACAAATGCAGAGACTGAGGTTTAGGGCAGTTAACCATCTTGCTTAGCGTCATGTAGCTACAGAATGATGGAAAGAGATGTGACCCCAGCCTGGGTGATTCCACCTCTAAGGGCTATCCTCAGAATGAATCTTCTAACGGGCCGGGCGCGGTGGCTCATGCTTATAATCCCAGCACCTTGGGTAGCTGAGGCAGGTGGATCACTTGAGGTCAGAAGTTTGAGACCAGCATGGGCAACATGATGAAACCCCGTCTCTACTAAAAATACAAAAATTAGCCGGGTGTGGTGGTACACACCTGTAATCCCAGCTACTTGGGAGGTTGAGGTGGGAGGATTGCTTGAACTTGAGAAGTGGAGGTTTCAGTGAGCCAAGATTGTGCCACTGCACTCCAGCCTAGGGACAGAGCAAGACGCTGTCTCAAACAAACAAACAAAACAAAAACAGAAAAGAAAGAATGACTCAGTCTCCTGGTCTCTACAATGATATATTTTCCCAGCTCACTTTGTCAGAGAGCCCGGGAGGATGCAAGGCAGAACCCTCCTTGCTTGGAGTCAGTGAGTTAAGGGCTGGCAGGCAGCACCCAGCGAAGCTCCGGAAGGTGCTCTGCCCATGACGAGTCCCATCAGCGGTGCTGGAGGAGTGACAGGTGGCAGCTGCTTGGCTCTGGGCAAGTCCTTCTGGGCTTCAGCTCCCTCACTTGTAAAAAAAAAATAAGAGGATTAGACAGAATGAACCAGCAAATGCCACAGCCCCATTGGTTAGAAAAGGTGACTCCACATCCTGGGTGCCAGGAGGGTGAGCAGGTGCATGCAATGAGCAAGGCTTCCCAGGACAGGGGCACTCAAGGCACTCAGCACAGCTCACCTGTCTCCTTCAGCATCTTCACCCCCAGAAGACCCACATGTGTGGGGCCATAAACTGTGCACAAGACGGGTTGCCAAGTAGCTGCTGTTCCTCCACAGGCCACGGGAACTTCCCTTACCTCTGTGGGAACCTGAATGATGTCGTGGTCAGCCCTCTCCTATACACGTGCTACCAGAATTCCCAGTCCATCTCGCGAGCATACGAGCAGTACGGTGCCTCCACCATCCAGCCCATCTCCGAGGAGATGCAGCTCCTACTGACCGTCTACTACCTGGTCCAGCTGGGTGAGTCGTCTCCACCTCCCAGCCCGAGCACAGACCTGGCCTAGGCCCTTGTGGGGGCTGACACGGGCTTCTGGAAATGAAATACAGGGGAAGTCCTTATGGGTCCCCTGGGGGGACGTCAGGAGGTCACTGTGGGCATCCCCACACTGAGGGGCTGACAGTAGGTTGAAGTTGATGGAGACATTTCCAGAACTCTGTCTGCCGTTCTAGGCACAGGGATACAGCAGGAAATTGTGCAAAGACCCTGCCCTTGAGGCGATTCTAGTTTAGTGGGAGAGAGAAGCAATAATCCAGTGGAAAATAGGCAGGTAAAGGTGGGCGCATGCATTAGTGTGTCTGTGTGGGGTCAGTTTAGGGTTATCAAGAAAGGCCTCTGTGAGTAGAGACCCGGACCCCTGAGCAGGAGTCAGCGTTATGATGATCTGAAGAATGAGGACAGGTGGAGGAGGGAGAGAGGACAGGTGAGGGCTGTGAGATGTGGAGGAGCAGCTGCAGCAGAGAGAGGGTGTGAGTGAGAGGTGTGGTCAGAGAGGGGCAGGCTCCAGTCGAGTGTGATTCTATGGTAGATACGTTGAGAAGCCGCTGGAATATTTTTAGGCAGGGGATGGAAGCAATCTGATTTTCACCTTAAAAAGGCCACCTTGGTGGCTGTGTGGAGTCAAATGGTGCAGACACAGTGGCAGAAACGGAGAAACAGTCAGTTGCCTGTTAAAGGCACGCAGTGGCTTGGGTCGTTGAGGGCGGCAGCAGTGAACTAGAGGAGCTATTCTGAAGGTAAGGGTGACTGGAAATCCCTTTGAAGGGAGTGGGAGCAGATGTGGCCTGGGTTTCAGCCCAAGCAGCCAGGTGAATGGTGGCAATGGACCTGAGTTCTGTCTTGGCATGAGTTTGAGATGCCCACGAGACAGCAAGTGGCCCGTGTCATTTGCATGGGCAGGCCTTGATCCCAGGGGAGGTTGAAGCTGTCGGTATACATTTAAGACATATCGGCTTACAGATGATGTATATTAAAGCCGTGAGACCAGCTGCAGGTGGCTACGGGGAGAGGAAAGTGCCAAGGTTTGAGCCTGGGGACTTCCTACCTTCAGAGATCCAGAGGAGGCGGCTGAGCTGGAACCGGAGGGAAGGCAGGAAAGGCTGGTGGGGAAGCTGGGAAAACCACCATCGTCCCTCTTTCTCATAGTCACCACCAGTCCGGCAGTAAGCACAGCTTATCTGGAATCTAGCCTCGCCCACCCTCTCGGTGGCTGTCCCCTCACTGGGGCGGCATTCTTGCCATGTTCCCCACATCCCTGAAAACTGGGAATCTGGTTTCATCTCTTCCCTGCCCAGAGCCTTGCCGTGGTTTCTCATCCGGCGCTCACTCCACCCCTTCCCCTGCCTGCCTCCTGGTCCCACCTGCTGGCTCTGTCCCAGCCCACTGTCCCCCTCAGCAATCTTGTCCCACCTGAGCATCCCAACACTTGCCGTTCCTTCCCTGTGATGTGCTCTTGCCGAAGACATGTATGGCTTGCTCCCTCATGTCCTTCAGGTTTAGGGTCACCTGTTGTCTTCCCAGCAAGGCCCTATTGTCACTGTGTGTAAGACAGCTTCCGCCCTCCAGGCCCCTATCCTATTCCCTTTATTTTTAGGGCACCAGGAATTACGCTCTGTGATTGTTCCCTTTAAGTGTGTGTCCCCTAGTTAGCACCATGAGGCCAGGCATGGTCAGCGAGCCCTTTTCTAGATGTCCCCCAGCATCCACAGCTCAGGTCGGCAGTCTGCAAACCTAAGTTGAGGGAATAGGTGTATGTTGATACGAAGCAGTGAAAAAAGCATTCCCAAGGGGAGAGACTGATCAACCATGCCAGTGTGGCTGGGAGTTTAGTGGAGGGAAGACGGGACCCTGACCACTGGGTTTCGCCAGGGGAAGCAGTTGGCAGCCTTGGTGATGATGTACGTGAAAATTGGGATAAAAGTCATATTGGAGTGGGTTAGAGAGATTGGAGGTGAGGAGACAGTATGGCACGTGCAGATGGCTCCAGCTGGGGAAAGTTCTGGAACTTCCCCCACCAGGTAGTTCTGGAAGGAGATGTGTACTCAAAGGAAAGTTTTTAAAGATGAGAGAGAGGTGATGGCTAATCTAATTAAATTCTAATTTGATTAGCTAATTCAAGTAGTGAATTCTGATAAATTCATCCAATCAAAGACGGAGATATAAGCTGATTTAATCAAATTCTGGCATGGCCCACAGAGAAGGTGGCATGAACCCCATGTCATGCGGCAGGAAACCATATGAGGTAGGTCAGGGCCGAACAGCTGGTGTGGATAGAGCTGGGCTGGAACGTGCCTGCTAAATGGAAGCCTGGTGCGCCTTCCTCCAGCTCATCAAATGTGAAATCTGGACGTATAAACCAGACAATTGGTAAAAGAGAAAATGCCAGAAGGAAACAAATATTGAAAAGTATGCAGTCTCACTCATCATCAAAGATATGCAAATCACAAATCAAGTAATCTTTTTCTGAATTAATAACCCCAATGATGGTACCCAGTGGTGCTTAGGTACAATAAAACCATCGCTTGTCAAAGCACTGTTCATGTGGTAAACTGATGCGTTCAGGCCATTTGGAAGCAAGCTGATATGTATTAGCTGGTTCTGTAAATCCACTTTTGAGAATTCAGGCAATGGAAGTAATGTTCTATGCATCAAGACATGCATTGCAGAGGTATTTATAAAGGTGAGTATTTAGAAGAAATAAAAGAATCCACAGTGGAGACCTTGCCAAGTAAACGGTGGCACTTACATATGATGGGACACTATGGACACACTAATGCACTCTTTATGATGGCTGGAAATGGCACTGAAACTGATGATAGGGTCATGGTTAAGGAAAGAATGCAAGACCCAAAGTTTATACTGACAACCATATGGTTATTTTTAAGGACAATTTTAATATTAATTCAGCAACATAGGTTTTGATTCCCTCTCCTGGAATAGGAGGAAGCCTAATATACTCCCAGGCTGAATGTTCTACACATTTGCTGCTGTGTATGTGCACAGTGACAGTGTAATCTGTCTATACCCCTGTAGTTCCAGTTCTAACTTTCTGATTCTTTTCAAAGACCTTCTCCAACAAGCTATGGGAATTTGGCTTCCTACCTTTTTTTTTTTTTCTTTTTTTTGCAGCAGGAGTGTTTTGGGTGATAATTTTAGGTTGATATCTATTACCTTTTTCTGGGTTTTGTTAGCTTTTTGAAAAATTGTCTTTCCTTAGAGTTGGTGAGTGGCTTGGTAGCAAAGTAAGATTTTTTTTGGAAAAGAGGACAGACAAGCTGAACTGCAGCTTGAGAACATATTCATTTTTCCTACTTTGTCTTGAAAATTGAGGAATGACTCTTAAACTTTTAACCGTTTTAGTGTATGTGACCAAAGGGTGAGCAAGGACTGTGTTTCTGGATTTTCAAAGACGATGCTTAATCTTAAATATAAATTTACAAATCTTCTTATAATTTAAAAAACCCTTGAATATGGGGGGAAAAAAAAAGAGATAAACATAAATAGCGTGGCTCTGTTCGGCCGGTGAGATTATGGCGGATTTCATGCCCTCGTCACGTGCTCCAGCCGAATGTGGCCCGATTTCACAGTAATAACTTAGGTGGGTGCGTTCATGTCGCTGCACCCGCGCGCCCCCGATGCCGTTGGCATTTGTGGCAGGCGCTTCGCCCGCGTTGTGTTGCAGCCGCGGACCAGGTGCCGTTGATGGAGGACCTGGAGCAGATCTTCCTGCGCTCCTGGCGCGAGTCGCACCTGACCGAGATCCGGCAGTACCAGCAGGCGCCGCCGCAGCCCTTCCCGCCCGCGCCCGGCCCCGCGGCGCCCGTGACCTCCGCGCAGCTGCCCTGGCTGGCCAGCCTGGCCGCCAGCTCCTGCAACGACAGCGTGCACGTCATCGAGTGTGCCTACTCCCTGGCCGAGGGCCTCTCCGAGATGTTCCGGCTGCTGGTCGAGGGCAAGCTCGCCAAGACCAACTACGTGGTCATCATCTGCGCCTGCCGCAGCGCGGCCATCGACTCCTGCATCGCCGTCACTGGTGAGCGCGCTGGGCCGCGCGGCTGCGGGGAAGCCCCCTGAACGGCGTTCCCGGTCCCCCGCTTTAGTGGTTCTCTCCCTTTCTGTCCCGGGCCTGGGTTTGCAGCAAGTTAACACCTGCGGCTTGTTCTCGGTAGCTGGCTTCGGAAGGCAGCCTTGAATAATGGCTTAGTTACAAGCTCATCCCTGCTCTGAGTGGCTGGTGAGGTTAGCCCTGGGGTCAGCTTGGGAGTGTGAAAAGACCCTGTTGAAAACCTGGCTCCACCACCGTGGGTGATCACTCACACCAGAACTCTGGCCCTGTTTCTTCACTCATCTATTGGAGATTAAAAACAAAAACAAAAAAAAACAATGACCAGCCGGGCGTGGTGGCTCACACCTGTAATCCCAGAACATTGGGAGGCCGGGGCGGGCGGGTCATGAGGTCAGGAGATCCAGAGCATCCTGCTAACACGGTGAAAAACCGTTTCTACTAAAAGTACAAAAAAATTAGCTGGGCGTGGTGGCACGCACCTGTAGTCCCAGGTACTTGGGAGGCTCTGGCGGGAGAATCGCTTGTACCTGGGAGGCAGAGGTTGCAACGAGCTGAGATCACACCACTGCACTCCAGCCTGGGTGACAGAGCAAGACTGTCTCAAAAACAACAGCAAAAAAAAAAAAACCCCAAAAAACAATGACCTTGTGTTGTCTTCAGGACCCAATTAATTTAATTGTTTTTTGAGACAGGATCTCACTGTGTCCCCCAGGCTGGAGTGCAGTGGTGTGATCTTGGCTCATTGCAACCTCTGCCTCCTGGGTTCAAGAGATTCTCCTACCTCAGCCTCCCAAGTAGCTGGCATTACAGGCACGTGCCCCCATACCCAGCTAATTTTTTGGTATCGATGGGGTTTCACCAGGTCACCCAGGCTGGTCTTAAGCTCCTGAACTCAAGTGATCCGCCTGCCTACGCCTCCCAAAGTGCTGGGATTACAGGTGTGAGCCACTGCACCTAGCCAATTGATTTAATTCTAAAAACAGTCATTGAAGCCCCACATGTGCAGGGCTGGGGCCCACGGGGAGCACAGTAGTCTCTGCCTGCCCGGAGCGTTCTTTAGGTGGGGGAGACAGACGCCAAATGCGTGGGCTTTCTTGTCCTGCTTAAATCTTCCCGGGTGCTGTGCATTTTCAAGTGGAATTTTTTGTACCTTGTAAAATTTGCCTAAAAATGCACAATTTAATGCACTTTTTCTTAAGACAGGGTCTTGCTCTGTCTCCTGGGCTGAAGTCCAGTGGCAAGATCTTGGCTCATTGCAGTCTTGAGCTCCTGGGCTCAAGTGATTCTGCGGCCTCAACCTCCATCTGGAGTAGCTGGGATATTACAGGTGTACACCACCACACCCAGCTCACATTTTTGTACTTTACAAGATAGGGTTTTGCCATGTTGCCCAGGCTGGTATCAAACTCCTGGGCTCCCTCAATCCGCCTGCCTCAGCCTCCCAAACTGCTGGGATTACAGGTGTGAGCCACTGTGCCTGGCATTTAACTTTTTAAGCGCAGTGTCTGAATTGTCTTTTGGCATTCTGGTGTGTGTGGGGTGTGTGTGTGTGTGTGTGTGTGTGTGTGTGTGTGTGTGTGTGAGATGGAGCCTTGCTCTGTTGCCTAGGCTGGAATGCAGTAGTACTATCTCACTGCAACCTCCGCCTCCCAACTTTAAGTGATTCTCCTGCCTCAGCCTCCCGAGTAGCTGGGACTACAATCATATACCACCATGCCCAACTAATTTTTGCATTTTTAGTAGAGATGGGGTTTCACCATGTAGGCCAGGCTGGTCTCATACTCCTGACCTCAGATGATCCGCCCACCTCAGCCTCCCACAGTGTCGAGATTACAGGCGTGAGCCACCACACCTGACCAGCATTCTTTAATCTTAAACCTATTCTGTGGTTTTTTTTTTTTTTTTTTTGTCAATTTTTTACCTTGATGTGAGTGGTACATTCAGTTATAGACCCTGACCCTCTGCTGTGCATCAGGCACCGTTGTCATGTGTCACCTCACAGCAGGTCTGGGAGGTAGATCCTGCTGTCAGCCACAGATTCCAGATGTGAAATGTGAGTCTAGAAGGGTTAAGGGTCTAGTCCAGGGTCATATGGCCAGTAAGCAGGGAAGATACAATAGGCACAGTGAAAGCTCTTTGTTTTCCAGGAAAATACCAAGCCCGGATTCTTTCTGAGAGCCTTCTCACCCCAGCAGAGTACCAGAAGGAAGTCAATTACGAGCTGGTTACGGGGAAGGTGGACTCGCTGGGGGCCTTCTTTAGCACCCTCTGTCCAGGTAGGCTTGTCATGGGACAGGTGCACATGCAGAGATTAATGGGATAAATCAGTGCCGGGGGAGGTCACCTCTGCCCCCTGCCTGTGACCCGCTGAGGTTGATCTCCACTTAGAGTGCCCTTCATTCTGTGCACTGTCATTTCTGTCCCTTTCTTTTCTTGAGTGACAGCTGTGGGTTCTGGCTGGCCATCTCTTCCTGCTCAGGCTGTAGAGTTCTCCTGAGTGGGGAGGGCACCATGTGGGTTCTGTATCCGTGGGGTGCACGAGGCCCTTGTGCCCATTCCTCTGCACCTCTCCAGACTTGGTGGCCTCTCTTCCCCCCTCTCCCTCTTCCCGGAGAGTTTCGTATCCCGTGCGCTCTGGGCGGTGAGCATCTTTCTCTGTTGTTTGCCTAGCTCCGTACCCCTCAAGACTCATCCCATGTCCCCCCAGAAAGCTTCTCAGACCCTTCGTTTTCCAGATGGGCTTGGGACCTTCCGCTCCGTCCTTAGCATGCTGTTCCTCCTTCTGCCCTAGCACTTGCTATGTCAGGGGGACTCACTCTGACGGTGTGTCTTCACCCCCACTAGGCTGAGGCCCCTTGACAGGACAGGCTACGTCCTCTTTACCTCCGTGACTCCAGGCCTCAGGACCGTATCTGACACTAACTGCTCTGTAGATTTTTGCTAAATTTCACTGACACAGAAAACCCATTTGTTTATTCTGTCTTGGGCAGAGGGTGACATTGACATTTTGCTGGACAAATTTCACCAGGAAAATCAAGGCCATATTTCTTCCTCACTCACTGCCTCTTCTGTCACTAAAGCAGCATCCCTGGAGGTCAGCGGGACACCGGTGTGCACAAGTGAGTGGTGAAAAGGAGCCTCTCAGGGTGGGGGGAAGGGGAAGCGGGCACAGATGTGCACATTGAGGGGGGCAGTGGGCACTGGTGTGTACAGTGAGCGGGGGTGGGGATGCAGGTGTGTACAGTGAGAGGGGCTGGGGCACAGGTGTGCACAGTGAGGGGTGGGTACACAGGTGTGCTCAGTGGATGCTGAAGGGACAGAGGGCTCATGTGTGCTCGGTGAGCGATGAGAGGGCATTGGCGAGGGCCTGGGTCTGGCCTGGGAGGCAGCATCCAGGGGCTCAGGTTGGAGGTAGCAATGTCAGAGGCACACCCACAAGACAGGACATCTCTTTAGTGTCACAGTAGACCTGATACCTAATTTAAACTTCAGTCTTTCATTGTGACAAGCTCATTTAATCTTGAATTGCACATCCATCTGTGTTTCTGAGATGGTGGATTCCTCTGCTAATTTCCTGCCTCCAAGTCTGTTGTTTTTTTATTCCTGTGGAGTTCCTAAATGACTGTCGTGTTAGTTTCTTTTTCTGGAGAGCTTGCAGTCCTCTTCCAAAGTCCAGTCTCAGCGTCACCTCCCCTGGGATGGGTTCGTCGTCCTCGCCAAGCAGGATAGGCCACTGCCTCCTCTGTGGTCCCCAAGTGGTGGGTTCTCATTTTTATTATTAAGTGAAGAATGGTTCATAACATAGCTGCTACTCACACACCCGCCACTGCTTAGCTGAGAGCAGGGACTTGATAAACGATAAACGTGAGTTGTTCCCCTTTCCCTCATCACTTTGTGCATGGGCCCGTCTCCCCTGGACCGGTTTCACTGTCTGACTCTCTGGCCAAGGGCCTGGACAGTAGCCATGTGCCCTGGGGCTCACCTGGCATTCTGGGGCTCTGGTTCCAGGTTACCACCTGGAGCCACACAGCATCCGGCCCTTCCAGTTGGCAGTGGCACAGAAGCTCCTCTCCCACGTGTGTTCCATTGCGGATTCCAGTACCCAAAATCTGGACTTGGGATCCTTTGAGAAGGTGGACTTTCTAATTTGCATTCCACCCTCAGAAGTGACCTACCAGCAGACTCTGTTCCACGTGTGGCACTCAGGTATGGGGCCTTTCGGGGACAAGTCATGTGGCCTGTGTGGAGAAGCTTTGATCTGCCTAAATCCGTGTTTGGATGTTGACACCGTTCTTTGCTATCGAGTGGATGGGGCAATTATTGTTGCTCTTGTTTTATAGATTGTGAAACTGATGTTCAGAGACAGTGACTTGCCCCAGATTGTAGGATCTGTTGATGGTAGAGCCAAAACTTGAACTTTCACAACGTCCCACTCAGGCTGGTGACCTCACCATGTGTTGCTGTCTGGCTTCACTGAATGGATTTTCCTTGTACTTTCAAGGATATCGTATTTAACCACAGAGTACACAGATGTCCAGTGTCTTCACTGAAGTGACTCACTCTTTAGTGGCATAATATATAGCCCTGTGGCATTCAGACCAAGAGAGGGATTTTGCTGCTGGTGGGACCGTTTAGTTCCCTCTATCTTACCAGGCTTGGGATCAGCTGCTTCCTGAAGCTGGTGCTCCTAGAAAGGGCTGCTGTACACACAGCCAGGCTGCAGCACCGCTTGCCTGTGCCCCAGCGCCTGTGCAGGACACTTACACAGCTGTAGCCCATGTGGGAGTTTTTCCCTACTTTTTCCTAGTCACGCATCCTTGGGTCTAGCTCAGTACCTGCTTTATGGGAGTTGCTCAGTAGGTGTCTGTTGAGTGAATGAAAACCAGTGAGCATGCTGGGAGTTACTGATGTATTTCATTGTGTTGCAGGAGTTTTACTGGAGCTTGGCCTGGAAAAAGAGCACGTGACCAAGCAGAGGGTGGAACAGTATGTTCTGAAGCTAGACGCGGAGGCACAGACAAAATTTAAGGCTTTTCTGCAAAACTCCTTCCAGAACCCGCATACACTTTTTGTCCTGATCCACGACCACGCGCACTGGGATCTTGTGAGGTTAGACGGACTTGATATATGACGGGCTGACATTTTCCATCTTTGAAATGTTGTATGTGGATGTTCGCTGGGGCTGAGGGTACAAGTCCTGAAAAGATGGATGAGGTTTGGGTTTGGTGTTTGTAAGCAGGTGCCATCCATGTTTTCCACAATCCTGAGGTGGAAGTTGTCTCGTAGATTATCTAGTGCGACCTCTGAAATTTACCATGGTGGAATCTAAGGGTTGGAGAAGGGAAGCATGTCTCCCAGGGTCACTGGGAAGGGTGGAGGGGGAGGGTGTTAGTGGCAGAGCCGAGGCCCCCAAATCACAACCTGATGCCTGATGTATTTCTTTCATAGTTCACTCACCACAAGGAACCATGCAGGTGTGGGGTGCGGAGGGTCCTAGCAGGAGTAGCTCAGCCTAGTCCTTCCCTGAAAGAGGCTCCGTGGGCTCCAGTACCATGGGTCACCCTTGATGCCTGCCCTTCTTAAGGAGCGATTTTACTCAGCTAAAATGAACATAAACCCAGATGAATTTCAGATGGGTCAAGCCGAGAGTCTGGCAGGATTTCTGGTTTACCAGGACTGGTCATTTCTGTGAGACTGGCCTAGGGGTTTTGCGTTCAGACATTTCTACTGATATACATGAGGAAGGAATGGGGCTCCTGGGCCAGGTCATGGAGAAAAACTTCGATGGTCACAGATCCGCAGACAGTTAGTTAGGGCTGGCCAGGACCTGAAGGATCACCTCGTAAGGGATCTACCATCTAGAATCCATGTATGGGTTTGGGGGAAATTGGAATATTCCCAAATTGTAGAAAGAGCTATATTGTGAATATTCATTTTGGGGGTAAGTTCCTCAGAGTGGCCTCCTGCCATCCAAAGGGTTAAGCACTGGTTTAAAAAAAAATCCCCTAGACTTACAGGAGAGAACACAGAGGCGTTTGTCCCACCGAGAAGTGCAGAGCTGGGCCTGGCTCCTAGACCCTTGTCCAAAACGCTTCCCAGTCCCTCTGTGCCGCCTTTTAAGCTGACTATAGAATTGACTCTTTATATCTTTTCCGGATCATTTCAAGGTCAGAAGGACTCTATAAGGAGGTAAGTACACAATCAGATGGGGCCAAAGAGGAACAGCTGATCCCTGGAATGTTCCTGGGGACATGTCACTGTCTGATGGGGTAGAAGGAGTGTGTGTCTTGTAAGAAATCCTCTGACTACTGTCCCCTGCAGGCACATTTTTCCTAAGTAATGAGTCTCAGGAGAGTCCCTGACAGCTACCAGAAGTCCAGCCGTTTTTTTCTGTATTCCTAGTCATGGGCGGAGCCATAGTCTTCAACTGTTGGCAAAGCCAGGGGTTAGTTATAAATTTATTCAACTGCTTCATCCTTGGAAAATTAGAAAAAAATATAGTAATTCCACTTATTGTGTCTTTTCCTCCCTCAGTAGCGCTGTTCATAACCTCTATTCTCAAAGTGACCCTTCGGTGGGATTGGTGGACCGATTGCTCAACTGCAGGGAGGTGAAGGAGGCCCCCAACATTGTGACCCTTCACGTGACCTCCTTCCCATATGCACTGCAGACACAGCACACGCTCATCAGCCCCTACAACGAGATCCACTGGCCGACCTCCTGCAGCAACGTGAGTGCCACGGGGCTGCCGGGCCCTTGTATTTAGCAATGACACTTGGGTGGCAGAAGTTACATTTAGTAAAAGCTTTGACCAGTGCATTTGAGGATAATGGGTTCCAGCTCCCTGGATCTTTGATTCAACCCAGGGTTACGTGTAGACCCTTCTTGGTCTTTTTGGAAACCTTCCTGCAGTGCGCCAGTTGGCTTCCTCATCTTGGAAGATGTCATGCAGTTTGTTTGACATTTTCTCTGGTGGCTGCAGCTTTCTGAGCAAGATTTGGAATGTTTGTTCTATGGCATTGGATGGAGATATTGAAGGTAGACCCCTTAAGGGCTGGGGGCTTTGGGCTCCATACAGAGCCAAACTCAATGTCTCTGGAAGCCCTAGGAAGGTTCCTGTTTTCCCCATCCCTGCATCCTTAGGTAGTGAGATTCAGAATCTCCTTCCTCAAACTAAACACATACCCTCAAAACTCAGTGAGTTTTTAGCTTATCACCTGGCATTTTCTCATCAAAATAGAAGACTGAAATCACCCTGGGCTCAGTAATAATTATTTGTTACCTGAAATAATCCTCACAGTGACACAATGAAATAGGAAACACCGTTATCCCCCTTTTTCAGATGAAGAAACTGAGACTTAGAGAAGTTAGGCCACTTGTCCAAGGTCACATGGGGGGTTTATAGTGAAACTGGACCCTAACCATGATTGCTTGGCGTCAAAACCACGTAGCCACCAAGCCATACTGATGAAAGTCTCGTAATTTGAGAATTCCAGGTGGTTTGTAGTTAGTTACACAGGAATAAGTAAGTGTAAAAGATGAGACTTATTTGGTGTGCCTCTCAGTCCTCTGAAGAACTTAAAAAAAAAATACCTGGCTTCCGTCCTGTGGACTGAGAATTCATGGTGGCAATAGCCATTGCTTGTAAGGCACTTACCATGAGCCAGGGAGGCCCTGCCCAAAGTGCTTCATGTTGTGAACTCATGCTGGAGGCAGGTGCTACAATTTGTTCTCATCTACGGATGGGGAACATGAGACCCAAGAAAGTTGGCCACTTGCCTCAGGCCAGGCAGCTAGAAAGTCGTGGAGGTGGGATATGACCCAGGCCACTGGCTCCAGGGCTCGGCCCTTAACCACTGTGACATTTAGGGGTAGAGTTTTCATGCCTGTATATTTTCAACAAACTCCCTCAACTTTGGAATTTTATGTCTGTGTGAGTAAAATTGGCTAGATAAATGTTTTCTTTGTCTATTGATTTTTAGTAGCAACTGAATGCAAGATAGTTGATTTTCCTATTCCTCAAACCGTTTAAGATTATAGAAAGAAGCAGTTTTAACAAAGAAATTTGTACGTTAAAAAGGTAAGGCTGATTTTATTCTTGGTAAAGACATTGGGATCAAATGAAGGGAGAACACCTGAGTGATGGGAATATACCACCTTTAAAGTATGGGGCATTCTTTGCTCTGCTTCTGCAGATGGAAGAAGTTTATAAAATGCAATCCAAGGGACTGCACAGTAGGCATGATTTAGATGCAGTTGCCAACACAGGTCATCCGTAGACCTGCCACATGAACCTCTGACCATCCCTGCAAATGCAATGTTTGAGTGATCAATGCTTTTCTCTCTTTTAGGGAGTGGAGTTATATCATGAAAATAAGAAGTACTTTGGGCTGTCTGAGTTTATTGAATCTACCCTTTCTGGACACAGCCTTCCCTTGCTCAGATATGATAGCTCCTTCGAGGCCATGGTCACTGCATTAGGAAAAAGGTATTTGTCTCTCTTCTAAGTTGCTAGAAGTACTCAGTAGCTTAAAGGCAAGTTAGGTGTGTTTAGCCAGCCAGGGAATTCCAGGAAGGGTAACTCGGTTTCTCCATTAAATGTACCCTGTCTTCTTTCTTCCTCTGTATTTGGAAGAAATATTTGAATCCCTTTCGGTCAGTGATGAATTCATCATGCTGTTGCTCTAGAAAATTTTAGAGATGACAATGAGCAGAAATATGCTGGAATGTGGAATCATGTTTTTGAGCCAATGGAGGGTGGGAAAATGGGAGGAAGATAACAAAAGCTTTAAGAGAAGCTGCAGTGATGATCACAGTTGGCTTCATTTTTGTTTCTGATGCGTATCATTCATTGAATGTTTATTTTGTGCCATTCACTCTTTCATGAACTTTACTTTCAGTATCTGATTTGATTCTCACTGCCGCTCTGAGCCACTTGCTACTATTATCCATATTTTACAAATGGAGAAACTGAGGCTTGGAGAGGCCCCCATAGCTTCCCCAGGCCACGTGTCTAGCAAGTGACAGAACTGGGTGAGAACCCAGAGTCAGTCTGACTGCACAGCCAGCCCTTTCAACCCTGTCGCAACAGACCTCATTTTATAGATGAAACCGGGGCTCAGACAGGCTAAGTGATTGCCAGGGTCCACATGGTCTATTCATGGTAAAACCAGGCCATGTTTTATAGATGATCTGTTGCAAAGCAAAATGCCATTGAACAAAATGCCACTGACTGTCAGCATGAGCTGGCCTCTACTTGCTCCCCTTATTGAACCTCACTCTTCTCATTTGCAGACAAAGGGATGAAAGTAGACATATCCTTCTCAAGCTGTGTGTTCCAAGGTGCACTGCTTTGGCTGGATGCTCACAGTTGCTAAGTGTAAAGGGGTTCCGTGGCCAGATGTGTCTGAGAAACATTTAAGAAAAGGATTTCTGTTCTATGAGAGTTCTTGGAGCCTTCAACACATCCATGCATGCTATAATTCTCCAGAAGGCTAGAGATGTGTCCAGTAGCTCATGGGATTAGATTTTCCCAGAACACTCTTGAAGAAACTAAATCTCTTAGATAGTGTTCAGTCCCGTGACACTGATAGAAATTGATCAAATTAGTTCTCCAACTCATGGATTGGCAGCTGAGCGCTCATCAACTTGCTGCATGAAGAAGCCCTCCAAGATTTCACGTTGAGGCAAGAAAACCAGCCTTTGCCCTTCCTCTGCCTCTCCTCAGGCAGTGAACACAGGTGGTGTGTTTAGTATGTTGTAGACACTGGGCTCGGTACTCTGTTATCTGAAATAATCCTCACAGTGACACAGTAAGATAGGAAATACCGTTGTCCCCTTTTTTCAGATGAAGAAACAGAGACTTAGAGAAGTTAGGCCACTTATCCAAGGTCACATGGGGGATTTATAGTGAAACTGGACCCCAACCCTGCTTGCTTGGCTCCAAAACCATGCAGCCACCAGGCCATACTGACCAAAGTCTCACAGCTGGTAAAGGGCAGCCTGTGCCCACCATGCCGGTATATCTTGGTTTACCCTCTATTAGTTTAACCTTGGTAAATCATCTAACCTGTCTCAACTTCCATACCCTCACCTGTAGAACAAATCTGCCTTTCTAGTGGCTTCTTACAGTTTCATGAGATAATGTATGTATGCACATTCCTTAGCACTTGCATGCTGGGAGCCCAGGCTCCAAAATCATCCCTCCTGGGTTTGAATCCTGAATCTGCCATTAATCAGCTGTGAGACTTGGAGAAAGTTTCTTGATTTTCTTTGGGGATGATAACACCTACATTATAGAGATACTATAAGGATTACATGGATTCATACACGTAAAGCATTGGAAATAGGGCCTGGCACACGTTACATGCTCCTGTTGGCTGTTACCACTACCACCTCCACCAGTGTTCACCATCATCATCCTCCCTTCTGTCTCCCTCTCTGTTAAACTAGAGGCATTATATAGAGATTAAATCTCATTCTCACTGGGTGAGAAGACAGTATCAAACCCTGGAATGGTGAAGTATGGAGAATCATAGGAACTTCTAGAAATTATTTGGCCCAACCACCTCATTTTATAATTGTGGGAACCGAAGCCCAGATTGTGAGAGTTTTGCCTGAGTTCATGCAGCCTATTGGTGGCAACATGGACTGTAGACAGGTTTGATGTCTTTCCACCATACCATACTGCCTTTGCTAGGATCATTTGTCTGGAAAACTCTCTTGAAACTTGTAATTTGCACAGGAGATAAAGGTTAGGACATGGAGTTACTGCCGCTTGCCACCATGTGTGTGGCCAGACTGTTAGTCCTCCATGTGTCATAAACGCCAACACACAGCTGGGAAAACTGCTTGTAGGACTGCCAATTGGACACAAACCTACTGTGACTGAAAAACAAGATCTAGACCTTTGACAACTCCGATTTTTCTTCTAATATATTGTCTATGGAACTTATTTCCTTTAGGACCTACCACAGAGGCTTAGGGGTAAGCATAGTTCTCTGCTGAGCCACAGCTGGGGTGCATTGATCTGTCTGACCTAAGGGGTGCTGTCTGGAGCTGGGCACTAGTTTCTGCTTACAATGCTTGTCCTTATTTTTTTTTTTTCCACAGCAGCTTTAATGGGGAATTAACTGACAGCCAGTAGACCGTACATATTCAAAGTATTCAATTTACATTTTGATACACATATAGACTGGTAAAATGGTCACCACAAAATAATGAAAAAAAGTTTCCTCCTGCCCCTTTGTAATTCCTTCCTCCTGTTCTTTTCTCACTGCAGAGTAGTTTGCATTCTCTAGAGTTTTATATAAATGGAATTACGCAATATGCACTCTGTTTTTGGCCTGACTTCTTTCACTATGTATAATTATGTTGAAATTCATCCATGTTCTTTTATGTATCAATAGTTTGTTCTTTTTTGCTGCCGGTATTCTAGAATAGAATATTATGGTCATACTCGTTTGTTTACTGGTTAAGAGGCTTTTAGGTTGTTTTTCAGTTTTGGCTATTACAGAGAAAGCTGCTATGAACATTCATGTACAAAGCTTGGTATAGATATATACTTTAACTTTTCATGGGTAAGCACCTGGTTGTGAAATGGCTGGGTTATTTGATAGGTGTGTGTTTAACTTGTTAACAAGCTGCCAAATTGTTTTCCAAAGTGTAGCTGTCTCTTGGTATACATGGGGGGTTAATTCCAGAACTGTCCCTGCCATACAAAAATCCATGAATACTCAAGTTCCATGGTTAGTCCTCTGGAATCCACATGTAAGCAAAAGTCAGCTTTCCATGTACATGGGGTTCACATCTAGAAAATACTGTACTTTTGATTTGCATTTGGTTAAAAATCCACATATAAGTGGACCCTTGAAGTTCAAACTTGTGATATTCAAGGGTCAACTGTAGTTCATTTTACATTCCCATCAGAATTTCAGTTGCGCTACATCTTTGTCAGCACCTGATGGTCAGTATTTCTAATTTTATTCATTTTAATAGGTATGAAGCGGTAGCTCATGATTTTAATGTCTCCAGTGACTAATGATGAACATCTTTTCCTATGTTTATCTGCCATTTGTGTATCATCTTTGGTCTCTTGATAAGTTGACTCCTTTACTATTTTCAAGTGGCCCAAAGAATATTATTTGTAGTGCTATAATCTATTCTTCTGATATTAATATAGTTATTCTAGTTATCTTTTGACTAGTGTTACTATAGATTATAATTTTTTACCCTTTTACCTTGAGCATGTTTCTCTTTTTTTTGGTTTAAATTTGGTTTCTTGTAGGCAGCTTATAGTTGAGACTTGCTTTTTTATCAAATGTGACAATCCCTGCCTTTTAATTGAATATTTAGACCATTTACATTTAACGTGGTTATTGATGCAGCTAGGTTTAAATCTGCCATCTTGTAGTTTGTCTCATCTGTTTTTTTAATGCTCTCTTTCTCTGCCTTTCTCTTTATGCATCTTTCTCTCAGCTATAACTCTTTGTTGTGATTTTTAGTGGTTGCTTTATAGTATATATTTTTAACTTATCACAGTCTACTTTCAAATGATATACCACTTTATGTATAAAATTTCATAATAATATACTTTCGTTTTTCCCTGCCTAGACTTTGTATTTTTGTTGTCATACATTTTACTTCTATTATGTTATAAACTCCACAGTATTTTTGCTTTAGACAGTCAGTCATCTTATAAAGCTATTTAAATAAGATAAAACACCTTTTATCTTATTTACCCATGTAGTTACCATTTCCAGCACTCTTCATTACATTGCATAATTCAGATTTCCATCTGGTATCATTTTCCTTATATGTAAAGGACTTTCTTTCACATTTCTTATTGATGATGAAATTTTTCAGCTTTTGTGTATCTAAAAAAGTCTTTATTTTGCCTCATTTTTAAAAGATATTTTCCCTAGATATAAAATCGTAGGTTGACATTTTTCCCCTTTGAGTACATCAAAGATGTTGCTTCACTGTCTTCTGAATTGCATTGTTTCAAACAAGAAACCTGCTGTCACCTTTGTATCTTTCTATATAATGTCACCTTGACCACCTTACTGGTTGCATTTAAATTTTTAAGTTTATTGAATTTTAAGCAATTTGTGTAGATATACCTTGTAGTTTTCATCATGTTTCTTATGCTGGAATTAATTGAATTTTCACCAGATATGAAAATATTTTAGCCATAGTTCTTCCAATATTTTTTATGCTTTCCACTCTCTCCCCCTTTAAAGTTATCCAATTATACACATCTCACGCTTCTTGAAGTTATTCCATAGCTCCCTGATTCTCTATTTATTATTTTCCCTCTGTTTGATTTTAGCTTCTTTATTATTATTATTATTATTATTTTGAGATGGAATCTTGCTCTGTCACCAGGCTGGAGTGCAGTGGCACAAACTCGGCTCACCACAACCTCCACCTCCCAGGTTCAAGTGAGTCTCCTGCCTCAGCCTCCCGAGTAGTTGGGATTACAGGCATGCGCCACCACGCCCAGCTAATTTTTATTTATTTAGTAGAGATAGGATTTCACCATGTTGGCCAGGATGGTCTCCATCTCTTAACCTTGTGATCCGCCTGTCTCAGCCTCCCAAAGTGCTGGGGTTATAGGCTTAAGCCACTGCACCTGGCCTGTTATTATTTTTAGAGACTGAATCTTTCTAGGGCTGTTGCCCAGGCTAAAGTGCACTGGCATGATCATAGCTCACTGTAACCTCAAACTCCGGGGCTCAAGCCACCTCCCTATCCCAGCGTCCCAAATAGCTGGGACTGCAGGTGCATACCACCATGCCTGGCCAATTTTTAAAAGTTTTTCTTGCAATATTGCCAAGGCTGGTCTTGAATTCCTTGCCTCAAGTGATTCTCCTGCCTTGGCATCCCGAAGTGCTGGGACATTTTAGTTTCTATTGCTGTGTTTTCAAGTTTATTAATCTTATTTTCTACATTATCTAATATGTTGCCAATTTCATTATATATATTTTACAAAAGCACAGTTTTATGACAAGATTCCTAAGAGAAGACAATTTCGGGTGTCACATGCATTGATGTGTATACACATTGATGATACACAGTTATTGTGTTTATTAACCAGGACTCTTTGTTGCAAGTAACAGAAACTCAACTTGAACTCTTTTAAGAAAAAAAGAGGGATGTATTGACTCATAAAATAATAGGAAAGGTTGAATAAATACCCATAGAACAGCAGAGATACCTAACAATTTAAGTTTCAAACACTGTCAAGACCATGTTGTCTTTGGTATCTATATGATGACTTTGTTGTATCTCAGTGCACAGTGGCTTCCTCGTGCACTGAAACACTACCACTGCTTGATGCTGAGCTTCACAGTCTCTAGCTTCCAGAGGCGGATTTATTTTTTCTTATACTTTGAAAAATCCCAAGAGAAGACTGGCTCTGTCTGAGGTGGGTTTCCATATCTGAACAGATCTGTTGTGGCTGGCAGGGCAAGGGTCACATACAAAGATCATAGCTCCCTTGAGAATTCAGGGTCTAGTTTATTTTCTGTCTATGACATTGAAGATTTCATCTCTAGAATTTGATTTATGTTTTTTTATATCTCTACTCAACAAGTTCAGTCTTTCCTCTAGATTTTTAAACATACAGAATATAGTTACAATAATTGTTTCAGTTTTGCCGCCTATGCATTCTGTCATCTGTGTCATTCCTGGATCAGTTTCTATTGATCGATTGTTTTCCCCCTCTTTATTATGGATCATACTTACCTGCTTCTTTACATGTCTGGTAATTTTTGAGAGGATGCCAAACATTGTGAATTTTGCCTTCTTGGGTGCTAGATATATTTGTATATCTATAAATACTGAGTTTTTTTCTGGGATACAACTAAGTTACTTGGACGCAGTTGAATCCTTCCAGGCCTTGCTTTTAAACTTTGTTAGGGAGGACCAGATTTAATGTAGCACTAACTTTGCCCAATACTGAGACAAAATTCTTTGAGTAAGTACTCTACAATGTTCTATGACTCCAAGGTGTTCCGTATTGGTTGTTGAAACAGGAACTATTCCCAGCCCTACATAAGCTCAAGATATTGTTCCTTTTAATTATTTTGCAACCAAAGGATTCTTGTTTTGGCTGTGGGTCATTCCCTTACATTTGTGCACTGATTGTATCAGCTGAAGACTTTAGGGGGGACCTCTGCAGATCTCTCCTCTTTGGTACTTTGCCCTGTGATCTCTAGATGCCTTGGTTTTCCTGGAATCTGATACTTTCCCTCAACTCAGGGAGAACACTGAGCTTTGCCTGGCTTCCCTCTTCCTGAGTGCATTCCAGAAACTGTAGGCAGAAGCTGGGGGGCTCACTTAATTTGTTTCACATCATTAGAATCACTGTCTTTCACTACCTAATGGCCCATGTATTGAAATGCAGTTGTTTCATTTATGTTTTCAGGTTTTCAGTCGTTTCAGATGGGAGGATAAATCTGATCCCTTCTGCTCCATCTTGCCAGAAGCAGAAGTCTCTGTCCTTTGAGCAGAGGCCATTTTCCATACTGCACTTTCTTCTTTCTTCCTAGGCATTATTTATTATTTATTTTGAGGTGCAGTCTCGCTCTGTTGCCCAGGCTGGAGTACAGTGGTGTGATCTTGGCTCGCTGCAACCTCTGCCTCCTGGGTTCAAGTGATTCTCCTGCCTCACCTCCCAAGTAGCTGGGATTATAGGTGTGTGCCACCACACCCGGCGAATTTTTGTATTTTTAGCAGAGGCAGGGTTTTTTCACGTTGGCCAGCATGGCCTCGAACTCCTGACCTCAGGTGATCCGTTTCCTGAGCACTATTTGACTGGTGCACCAGGGATAAGTAGAGCAATCCCTGGGCTGCTGAGTCCCCTTCGTGCCAGAGTCTGTGAACCAGTTATTCCTTCCTGAGACAGCATTGGTAATGCAAACTTGCCAGGGCAGCTTCCAGGTTATGTGACCTGCAAAGTGGATGTAGTGCTGAAGGAAGCATGAAACAAAGGAGGAGGATGGTCAGGAAGAAGGGGCAAGGATGTCATCATGATGTCAGAAATGCTATCAGAGGTGCTGCAGGAAGGCGAGCTGGCTGCCCTGATAGAACTTATGGGGTGGCATGGCCGTGGTACGGAACCCACTTTTGTGGGTCGAGAAACTACCTTACCTTTGCTTCAAAAAGCTAGAGCCAGGGAGACTCATTCCAGCTCAGTAAACCCAGAAGAACATAAACTGGATACGAATTTATTGATTCCTGTTGAGAAACATCGTCATCTGCAGGGGCCTGAGTTTTTCACTGGTGCCCTGGGGTCTGTTTGACCCTAACCGGTCAGAGCCACTCTGGGAGAGTAGGTGGTCGTGGGAGCGGCCACCACCTTTGTGTAGGGACATAGACAGTCACCACAGTTTCTGAAGCAAAAACCGGGATTCTTGATTTGGCTGGATAAGTTCTGATTTGTAATTTGTCTGTCAAATTACAATACGTTTATTTGTATCTCTAATGATTCACTGTGATTGATGTGAACACAAAGATGTAGGTTTAGAACCGGGGCCTCTGGGAGCTGCATTTCCATATTGATTGCTGGTGGTTCTCCTGTTTCTTGTAGGAACTTGGGGCAAATTAGCTACCTCCTCAGAGAACTACACATTGTGCTGACAGAGACAAAATAGACATTTATATCATTCATTCATCTGCTCATTCATTGGACAGATATTTATCGAGCAGCTACTAAGTGCCAAATGCTGAAAAACATAAAAACAATAACAACAACAAACCTATGTTTTTGTTTCCCTACTGGAAAAAACAAAGGATTGTATCATTTGGTTTCTAAAGAAGGCTTCTCATTCAGGTTCCCACAACCTGAGGCTTCTAGAGGCCACACAACTGTGTATAGTGTGGGAGCTGCCTGTGCCAGAGTGATGGATGTCTTGGGTGACTTGGCAGCAGTGGGCCGGCGGGTGCGGCTGTCACGGGCATGGTCTCTCTGTGTTCCTTGCAGGTTCCCCCGCCTGCACAGCGCGGTGATCAGGACCTTTGTTCTTGTGCAGCACTACGCGGCCGCCTTGATGGCCGTGAGCGGCCTCCCGCAGATGAAGAACTACACGTCGGTGGAGACGCTGGAGATCACGCAGAACCTCCTCAACTCCCCGAAGCAGTGCCCCTGTGGCCACGGGCTCATGGTCCTGCTGCGGGTGCCCTGTTCACCCCTGGCGGCCGTGGCCTATGAGCGGCTGGCCCATGTACGGGCCCGGCTGGCGCTGGAGGAGCATTTCGAGATCATCCTGGGCAGCCCCAGCTCGGGCGTCACCGTGGGGAAGCACTTTGTGAAGCAGCTCAGGGTAGGTGCTGTGCACAGGGATGGGTAGAAGGGTTGGCGGTACCTGGGAAAGCGGGGGGGCGGTACTCACCAGAGGCAGAGAGTGGCAACAAACCCCCCAGCGTGGCCAGCATGGCTTCCCTAGACCCAGCCACCCCCAGCCTCCTCGATGTTCTTCCCTGCCTTCCTCCCCGGCAGCACCCCAGCAGCACCCCAGCAGCACCCCGGCACCTCACAGCACTGCCTTACGACTTCAGACCTCTGGGCAGCAGCCTGCTTTCATTTTCCTGAGCATCCATTTCCCCTCTTCTTTGTTTAGCTGATGCTTCTTTATTTTCCCCCTTTGAGACAGGGTCTCACTCTGTGGCCCAGGCTGGAGTGTGGTGGCATGATCACAGCTCACTGCAGCCTAGACCTCCTGGGCTCCAGGGATCCTCCCACCTCAGGCTCCTGGGCAGTTGGAACCACAGGCGTGTGCTACCACACTTCGCAATTTTTAAAATTTTTAGGAGAGACAGGGTCTCAATATGTTGCCCAGGCTGATCCAAACTCCTGAGTTCAAACGACCCTCCTGCCTCAGCCCGTGAGGTGCTGGGTTCCAGGTGTGAGCTGCCCTGCTTATTTCCTGCGGCACTCAGCTTGGCATCTTTCCTCTTTCAGGAAGATGCCCTCCCCCTCCACCACACACAGGGCAGTGCCATGCCCCCTACCTGTCATCCGGCCCCTCCCCCAGACGGTGGGGGCAAGGGCCATCCCCACAGAACTCAGCCCCCAAAGCCTAGCACAGCACCTGGCCCACAGTAGGTTCTCACTCAACCTGCCAAATGCAGGAAGGCTGGGGAAAGAACACTAGTGGAAAATAGCAATGAAAGGGAGGACACCGTCAGGAGAGAGCACAGGGAAGACATGAGACAGCTGGCCGGGTGCAGTGGCTCACATCTGTAATCTCAGCACTTTGGGAGGCCGAGGTGGGCAAATCATGGGGTCAGGAGTTCAAGATCAGCCTGGCCAACATAGTGAAACCCCTGTCTCTATTAAAAATACAAAGATTAGCTAGATGCAGTGGCAAATGTCTGTAATCCCAGCTGCTCAGGAGGCTGAGGCAGGAGAATTGCTTGAACCTGGGAGGCAGAGATTGCAGTGAGCTGAGATCGTACCACTGCACTCCAGCCTGGACAACTGAGCGAGACTCTCTCAAATAAAAAAAAGATATAAACAGCAGCTGACAATATAGACTTTCTTTCACGGAGCCTGCTGGCTGACAGACGTCTTGAACATGTTCTGGGTGGCTAGTCTACATGTTCTAGACGACTGAGAATACAGTGGCCAAGCGATGGTGTGTTTATTTCCAGTCTAAATCAATTTCCTTTTGGTCAGAGGATGTAGTTCAGGACTTTCAATTGGTGGAAGGCCATCAGGTTTCCCCTGAGCTGGGCTGGTTGGGAAGGGAGGCGTCTGTGGCTTTATTTCTTTTTCGTTGTTTGCAGACGTGGCAGAACATCGAGGATGTGGAGTGGAAACCCCAGACTTACTTGGAGCTGGAGGGTCTGCCTTGCATCCTGATCTTCAGTGGGATGGACCCGCACGGGGAGTCCTTGCCAAGGTAAGTAGAGGGGTTATGCCCCCCGGGGTCTCCAAGGAGCTGGCTGCCTGGGCCCCCTCAGGGGAGCATGTCAGGCTGGGTTGTCGGGCCCCACTGGGAGGCAGCACCACTAGCATTGATGGGTACTGTGGGTGGGGCCTTCACTGGGGCTTTCCCAGCAGGTGTCTAAGGCCCATGCAGCTTTTCCTGATTCTCAGAAAGGCACTCTGGGCTCATGGTGAGGGCTGTTGCTGGGCTCTGTGGTGGAGGCAGCTGGAGCCAGGATTTAATGCCTCCTGAGTTCAGTTTCTCCTCATGAGGTGCCCTGCGTGCGTTGGGGATGGCAGTTCCACTTGGGACAGTATCGCGTCCTCTCCAGGGCTTGGAGCCGCAGTTCCCGCTGGTACCTAGGCTGCTGCAATGCCTGGGCCCTCCCTGCTTAGGAGGTGTTCTGGGAAGGGGGTAGCTGACGCTGCTTGGGAAGAGCTGGTTCTTCCAGCACAGAGTGGACTGTCTCAAAGGGTGTGTCCCTCTGAAGCCATTACAGCCTGGAAAGTCTCAGCCACACATCCACTTAGTGTTCCCTCGTGGTGGGGGTCTCTAGGCCATCACACAGATACACAGACACTCGAGATTCACGTCACTGGGCCTCCTGTAAGGCAGTTTCTTGGATTGGTAGTGACAGGTTGGCTTTTAGAGACTTCTTACCATGAAGAAGAGCAGACAGCCTGCCACAGGGCCTTTGCACACCTGTCCATGTGTAACAAGATAGCAAAAGCCAACATCAATGGAATTCCAGTTACGTTCTGGGCACTGTCCTAGATGATTCTTTTATGTTTTATTTCATTTTACTCTCACCTTAATCCTGGGGGAAAGGTACTATTTCAGTAGTTCCATTTTACGGATGAAAAAATTGAGGCTTGCCAAGATTAAGCCAGTCTGGCCGACACTTGAAGCCGGGAGTTCGAGATCAGCCTGGCCAACATGGTGAAACCTCATCTCTACTAAAAATACAAAAATTAGCCAGACATGGTGGCACACACCTGTAGTCCCAGCTATTTGGGAGGCTGAGGCAGCAGAAGAAGGTCTGGCTTCTTCCCCTGGGACCGCCCCACACTTTAACAAATGGCCCTGTGCGTGCTGCATACTCATGGGCCAGGGAAGGGGTCTCCAGAACATCTGACCTTGGTTGTTGCTATTTCATGTGGATGAATTCTTCTTTAACTCCTTAAGGACTGAGACAATGTATTAATTAATCTATTTGAAATTTTAGCAGGCGTTTGCTGAGTCCCTTCTTTGTACTAGGCATCATGATAGACTTTTGTTGTCTTTTTTTCCCCTCGAGACAGAGTCTTGCTCTGCCAGGCCGGGGTGCAGTGGTGCGATCTCGGCTCACTGCAATCTCCAACTCCCTGGTTTTAGCAATTCTCCTGCCTCAGCCTCCCGAGTAGCTGGGATTACAGACATGAGCCTCCACGCCTAGCTAATTTTTGTATTTTTAGTAGAGACGGGGTTTCACTATGTTGGTCAGGCTGGTCTCAAACTCCTGACATCAGGTAATCTGCCCGTCTCGGCCTCCCAAAGTGCTGGGATTACAGGTGCAAGCCACCACGCCCGGCCCATGTTAGACTTTTCATATAAAGCTTACTCCTCGCAGCAGTAGTGTTTCCACCCTGTTTTATGATTGGGTCAGTGAACGATCATTTGCTTGAGGTCACATGAGCAGTTCATTTCAGAGCCCCACTGGAACCCTCACAAACCCCTCCCTAAGCCCTTTGCTTTGGTTGTGTTTCTGCTGCCGAGTCTGAGCAAGCTGTTGGCCTTTCCTCTGCTGCTCACGGTAGCGTTGCTTGTTGGTGTCTGACTCGATTGCCGTCATATTTCTAGCATCTACTACCCTGGCATGTGTTCACTTGGATTGAATAATTAAATGCCCACTGATTACATTTAATCTTTATCAAAGTGCACTTAGATGGTTATTAATATTCATTCCCACCTTTCAGATGAAAAAATCAGAGCCTCAGAGAAGTTGTGCAGCTTGTCACAGCTTCTGTTGCTAGGAAGTAGCAGAGCTCAGGTTCAAGCCCCTTTTTTTCTGACCCAAAAGTTAGTGCAGCACAGGGTTAAATCCATAGCGGGTGCCCCAAAATATTGATGGTTATACTGAGTTTGTTGCTGCAAGCTTGCGGTAACACTGTTGGTTCTTCCACGTGTACGAGTCCTTGGGTCCTCACCGGAAGGCAGGTTGTGGTCCCGATCAGTGCTGCCTGCAGCAGTGGGAACAGCACCCCGTTTGTGGAAGGCCCTCAGCAGACGCCTTTTTCTGTGTCTTGCTAGGTCTTTGAGGTACTGTGACCTGCGATTGATAAACTCCTCCTGCTTGGTGAGAACAGCCTTGGAGCAGGAGCTGGGCCTGGCTGCCTACTTTGTGAGCAACGAGGTTCTCTTGGAGAAGGGGGCTAGGAACGAGGCCTTGGAGAGTGATGCAGAGAAGCTGAGCAGCACAGACAACGAGGATGAGGAGCTGGGGACAGAAGGTGAGGGGTGACTCCCTCAGCCTAGGTGTCCCCATCTGCACGTCTTTCTTGGCTTATGAGCTTTGAGGCTGCCTGTGCTCATGGAGACAGCTGTCTCCAGTTCAGCAGGGTCCTGGGACCTGTCTGCTGGACAGCAGCTCTGGATGAGAGGTCTCCAGTGTGGGCTGGAATGGCAAAGCTCTCATTGAATTCAGACTTTGCTTATTTTCTCCCCATCTCTTTTGGTGGTGTGAGAAGGTGGAAATCCCTAGAGGTTCTTCCCAGTTCTAGAATTCTTAATAGGAAGAAAAATTAAGATTTCTTAGAGTTGAAGTTCAAGATTTCTTGTTGTTCTTATTCCACTCACTGGTGGAATTCCAACCTCGTGTGATCTGCTTGCTTATTTCCTGTGTGAATCAACTCCATAGCATGCTGTCCATTAGTGAGATTTATGAAAACAGGCTCATTTGCATACTCTTCAAATCTGGTACCATCTTTTTAATAGGACACATAAATGATAACATTGCAAGGCATTGACTATAGTCAACAATGTGATGAGAAAGACACAGACAATCATACAAAAACTAGAGAGCGTTTGTGGAGTGTGGTAGAGTGGAAGGAGGTGGGCGTGGGCCCCAGCCCGGGTCTGTGGGCTCCCTCCTCTGTCTTTACTGTGGGACCTCTCCTAGCCTCAGCTCGCTCATCCGTTAACATGCAGATGGAAAGGCCTGCCCGCCTGTAGCCATCTTTTCCAAGCACAGCAGAGACCCTGACTTAATTCTTCCACTGGTGGGTGTCTGCTGCACGTCTCCACGCTCCCTGGTGTCTCAGGAACCCCCTTCTCTAGTTTCACCATCTGCTCCTCTATACCCACAGCTCCCACCGCACTGGGCACCGGCCTGCATTAAACTCGCTGTGCCCAGGCTGTGCTCTGCCCTCCTGGCCTCTGTGTTGCACGGCTACCCTTCCCGCTGCTTGCAGTTTTCCTTTCTCTGCTTCACCTGGAAAGCGCTGCGGCCCTTCAGGACAAGGGCCAGATGCCCCCTCTTCCAGGAGAGGCCCTGCTTTCCCCCTGGGCTCCCTGACCCCGCTTGCAGCTGTGCCTCATGGGCAGCAGCATTCGTGGCATGCAGAGCGCCTCCCTGCACCCTGGCCACCCCCTCTTGTCTCCTCAGAGCCCTGTCCATGGTGGGGGCCTGGAAGATGGCAGTGAATGAGTGAATGAATGAGGAGAGAGGATGCATGGGAACGTGCTTTACGCACTGTGAAGTGCTGGGTAAATGTCAGGGATGGTGATTTCGGGGCATTGTCAGCATGTGTGTTTTGAAACAGGCTCCACCTCGGAGAAAAGAAGCCCCGTGAAAAGGGAGAGGTCCTGCTCCCATGACTCAGCATCCTCGTCCCTCTCCTCTAAGGCGTCCGGTGAGTCTTCCCATGCAAGAAGGACCAGACCAGCGGACTGGTTTTTGAGGTTTCAGAGAATGAAAAGAAATGTATGTAGGGGTATTTGCTGATCCTTTATTTCCCATCAGAACAGGGAAGAAGGAAATCTTTGAAGCACTATACTCTCTGGAGAGTAAATGTTCTGGTGAATTTGGGATTGGAGAACTTGAAGTCTCTGAGCAAGCCTGTAGCGTTCCGCTGCCCCTGTCGTCAGGGGAAGACCGTGGACTCTGCCCCTCACTGTGCCTGGGGTCTCTGGCAGAGTCCTGGCTGTGTTAGGGGTGGGTCCCTGGGTGTTCTCCCTGCCGCTGTTGCTTTGGGAAAACCCTGTGCCCTGTGGGGAGAGGAGCTGAGCCCAGGGTGTTCTGGTGGAGAGCAGTAGACACGGAGACTTCACCAGGGGAAGAGCAGCAAAAGGCAGCACAAGCTCACGAGCCCTCCCTGTAGCCAGAGCCGCAGTGGGTGGGCAGTGCCGCCACGGGCTCCACGCAGGCTCCACATGGTCTCTGCCCTGAGGGCTCCCCTGTCTCCTTGGGAGCAGTCAGGACCATAAACATCAAAGAGTATCCCCTGTCTTCCTACTGAAAGCATTATGAGGGCCTACTGATATCTGGATTGGCACTGAAGGATAAATGAGATGTAGACCGGCCACAGGAAGCTAACTCATCATTCTCATAAAAGACGTGTTATTTTATAGTCGTTTTTCACACACGTGTGTTATGTGTTATGGTTCCACATGTGAAGAAGTCTGTAATTTTGTCTCAAGGCAGAGGGCAGATCTCAGAGTAGGTGAGGCCACCACAGGTTTGAGAGAACAGCTGACCCTCAGCTGGCCTTGCAGGAGTTGTTGCAGTGGAAGAAGCCTGGAGGGTCCAGAGGCTCAGGGACCTGGGTGCAGGGAGGGGTGTGGTGGCTGCGGGCCCCAGTTGGGTGGGGGGTGCCTAGCTGTGGCTGGAGAAGTGGCTGAGAGTAGCTGCTGTGTGATTGGGGACGGGGAGAGGTCAGAGCCCACCAAGAGACTGGCCAGGTGGCATCTGGGGCCACCCTTCTTTTTCCCTCACCTCATGCGCCTGTGCACAAGGGTGTTGGCGTCTCCCTCCCAGGTACCCTGATGAAGTCAGCCCTGAGCACTCTTCACCCTCAGCCCAGAGCTCTGGGACTGAAAGAAGCCCTGCCTCTTAGGCTGGAGCTCAGTCAGAAAAGCCAGAGCTGCAGCCACTGGGTCGGGGGGTCTGGGGCAGAAACAGGAGCTCCCGGCAAGTTCTGGGACAGGTCACTCCTGGGACGGGTCACTCCTGGGATGGGTCACTCGTGGGAAAAATCACTCCTGGGATGGGTCGTTCCTGGGACAAATCACTCCTAGGACAGGTCACTCCTGGGACAAGTTGCCCCTGGGACGAGTCACTCATGGGACAGGTCACTCCTGAGACAGGTCACTCCTGAGACAGGTCACTCCTGGGATGGGTCACTCCTCGGACAAGTCACTCCTCAGACAGGTCACTCCTGGGACAGGTCACTCCTCGGACAAGTCACTCCTGGGACAAATCACTCCTGGGATGGGTCACTCCTAGGACTGGTCACTCCTGGGACGAGTTGCCCCTGGGACAAGTCACTCCTGGGACAGGTCACTCCTGAGATGGGTCACTCCTGGGATGGGTCACTCCTTGGACAAGTCACTCCTGGGACAGGTCACACCTGAGTTAGGTCACTCCTGGGACAGGTCACTCCTCGGACAAGTCACTCCTGAGTTAGGTCACTCCTGGGACAGGTCACTCCTCAGACAAGTCACTCCTGAGTTAAGTCACTCCTGGGACAGGTCACTCCTCGGACAAGTCACTCCTGGGACGGGTCACTCCTGAGACGGGTCACTCCTGGGACGGGCCACTCCTGAGATGGGTCGCTCCTGGGATGGGTCGCTCCTGAGACGGGTCGCTCCTGGGATGAGTTACTCCTGAGATGGGTCACTCTGGGGATGGGTTGCTCCTGGGACGGGTCCCTCCTGGGACATCCCTGAGTAGGTTTGTCTCTCCTCAGGCTCAGCGCTGGGTGGTGAGTCCTTGGCCCAGCCCACGAGGCTCCCCCAGGGAGAGCGTGCCAGGTCGCCCCAGCCCTGCAGCCCCTCGGAGGAGGGCAGAGCCCCTGATGAGAAACAGAGGCCCCAGGCCAGTCAGGGGCCACCGTTGGCCATCAGCAGGCACAGTCCCGGGCTGACCCCCCAGCCTGACTGCAGCCTCAGGACCAGCCAGAGGAGCGTCCAGGTGTCCGTCACCTCACCGTGCTCCCAGCTGTCCTCCTCCTCCTTGGGCTCGTCCTCCTCGCCTGTGGCGCCTGCCACCGGCACGTTGGTCCTGCAGGCCTCCCAGTGCTCCCTGACCAAGGCCTGCCGCCAGCCGCCCGTCGTCTTCTTGCCCAAGCTTGTGTATGACATGGTCATGTCCACCGACAGCAGCGGCCTGCCAAAGGCCGCCTCCCTCCTGCCCTCCCCCTCTGTCATGTGGGCCAGCTCCTTCCGCCCGCTGCTCAGCAAGACCATGACATCCACCGAGCAGTCCCTCTACTACCGGCAGTGGACGGTGCCCCGGCCCAGCCACATGGACTACGGCAACAGGGCTGAGGGTCGCGTGGATGGCTTCCACCCCCGCAGGCTGCTGCTTAGCGGCCCCCCTCAGGTGGGTGTCGCTGGCTGCCCCAGCACAGCCCCGGCCTCGGGTGTTCTCACACTCCCACCCGGAGGGCAGGCCCAGGGGCGGCCACCTCCACATCTTCACTTTTCACCCTTCCTCTGGTGGAATCTTCTCTGATGTCCAGGGCTGGACCAGGGGGAGGAGGCCGGGACACATCTGCCACTCAGGGCTGGTGGCTTCCGTTCTTCCTCCTTGCGATGTGGGGGGCGGACGGGAGACCTCTCTGGGTGCATCAGATGCCGATTCCTCATCCCCACGCCATTTCACTCAGCCTCCCGTGTGCTGCACGATTCTCTAACAAATAGAAGCAAAACTCTCGGTTCTCTGCCAGAAGGCTTCGGTAGACCATTAATGGAGAACTGGCGATTCTGTTTCCCCGTCTCAGCCCTTCTCCAGCTCATGGTGTTTCCCTAACAACAGAAGTCCATTTCACCTCTCAATGGCAGAGTCTCCTGGCCATGAGCCTGCAGGGAGGAGGAGGGCTGGGGACGGGGATCCACTCTTTGGAACAGAGCTGGGCTTTGGGGTTGGGTTGCGATTCAGTATCCATTTGTTTCTTAAACTTGTAGAATGAACAATATTACTTTTTCTGATTTAAAAAGGACAAAAGAAAGTGTTTCTGACCAAGGAAATCTCCCTTCTTCCATACCCTCACACTATTGGATATTACCAATTTAACATCGTTGTCTGTTTTATAGGTGAAAAATAATACATTACATTTTATTAGTAAGATTGACATATTCTTATCTTTTTGCTGGTCATTGATACTTCTATTTCAGTGCTTTTCCGGTTTTTCTGATTTGTTTTTCCTTTAGGCCATTTGACTTTTTCTTGTTGATTTGTAGAAGTGCTTTAGCTATTATATATTTTTAGCCTTTGTCTGTTATCTGTATTGCAGGTGTTTTCTCTGTGGTTGGATGTCATATTTTCCTCTGTAAAGTTATTTCCATTCTTCAGTATTTGCTGAGTTCTAGCATGAACCAGGCATTGGGTTCAGTGCTTGGAAAGCGCATCCCTAAAGTGGCTTTTTTATTTATTTTAATTTTCATTTATTATTATTATTATTTTTGAGATGGAGTCTCGCTCTGTTGCCCAAGCTGGAGTGCAGTGGTGCGATCTCAGCTCACTGCAACCTCTACCTCCCAGGTTCAAGTGATTCTCCTGCCTCTGCCTCCCGAGTAGCTGGGACTACAGGCACGTGCCACCATGCTTGGCTAATTTTTGTATTTTTAGTAGAGATGGGGTTTCACCGTGTTGGCCAGGATGGTCTTGATCTCTTGACCTCATGATCCACCCTCCTTAGCCTCCCAAAGACTGTGATTATAGGCATGAGCCACCGCTCCTGGCTGGAGTGGCTCTTTTATACAGGGGTGCAGGGAGGGTCCTGGGCCAGACCGTGAGTGCTTCCTAATCAGTTGTAACCAAAACGAACTAAAATTAATAGGCGGTATGCTAGCCTGAAGCTGGGCTGGGGAATCAGGGAACTCCGTACTACAGGAAACAGGAGAAGGAAGAAGAAAGTTGTTCTTTTCCTGGATTTAGGAGAAAAATGAGAAGCACTTTTTTTTATGTCTTAATCAACAAATGTTGCTATCCTGTACAGACATATTAAGCAATTTGCAAGACTCATAAGACATTATGTTTTATAGTATGTTATGTTTTTGAAGCAGGCTTTCTTCAGGTTGTGATAAAGTGCTATTTCTAACAGCTTAAAAATGTGGCTAGTTACAATCTAGAGATGCATTTGCGACAATATTTAAGCAGGAAAGCCTCATGCTCGGGGGAGTCCATTTGTCCACCTGCCACACTTGTTCCCTTCAAATGTCTTTGCATCCATGGGGCTCTCATTTTAAAGACAGGATCTTTAAGTGAGGCAGATGGCAGGAGGCATGCCAAGGTGCTCAGCTGGTGCCTGGCACGTGGATGGGGTGTCTTCACTGTGGGCTCTGACTCCCATACCTTTACAGATCGGGAAGACAGGTGCCTACCTGCAGTTCCTCAGTGTCCTGTCCAGGATGCTTGTTCGGCTCACAGAAGTGGACATCTATGATGAGGAGGAGATCAATATCAGTGAGTTATCCAATCGGGGTTATGTGGGCTTGGAATCACCTTCATCACTTTCTCAAGTGACTTTAATTTTATCTTCCACTTTCTAGATGGAATTCTTAGATTCATGATCAGACTCATCCTAAGGGCCGTGTAGGGGGTGCGATTTATCTTTTTCTTGTCATCATTTTTCTCAGTTTCGGGCCTTTGCTGTAGGGATACAGTTACGAATACTAAAGTGTTTACTGAGTACCTTCCACATGTGGAGCTCTGAGCTAGATATTTTGCATGAATTACCATGTGAATTTCCTAGGCCAGTGTGAGATAGAGGTTCCATTCTCCTGATAAAACACATGCTTGGGAACCCAGTGGGTGGCGGTAGGGCTGGATGGAACTAGATTTGATGGCTGCCTCTGCAAAGCAGACTTACCTCTCGGGGGACGTTTCTCACTCAGGCAGCTGAGCAGGGAGGTCAGTGTCTTGGGCAAAATAGAAATACGTGAAATGTGGGGGAAATCCTGTTCTCGTTTCCAGAACAGAGTTTATTTTGATTGAGGTCAGCCTCTTTTTGAGCACCCCTTTTGTGCCCATATAAAATACCTCCTCTGTTTCCTCCTCATCCCTCCTCCCAGTGGCTCATAAACTTGGTCTGGTCAATGAACTTGCTGCGCTGGGAGAGAGAGAGCTTGTCAGACAAATCCTGTTTGTGTTGTGGAGAGGTTGCCAGCCAGCTGCGCCAGTGTCTGAAGGGCACTTGGTGAGACGCTGTCGGCAGTGCTTTGATTTTGACTTTGAGAAAATTTGGAGCCAAGGAAGCCCGTCCAGCCCTTGGCCTTCCCTCCTGGGAAAGAAGAGGCTCTCCAGCCTGGCTCTGGGTTTTCCAAGGGTTTCCCACAGTTTGGAACCACATTGCAGATGAAATCTGCAGCCCTGTTGAATTTGTCTCCTTACTTTCTTGGACATATCAATGATAAAGACAGGATTTGATCCCTGATTGTTCAGTGTTAAAGTCCACTCTCTTAAATACTCTCTTGTCGCCTCAGTGTGCTCGTTTGTTGAATAGGGATAATTTCTGTTTTATAGGGTTTTATGGGGATTGACACACAGATCACCAAGACAACACCCCCCCTTTTTTTTTTAAGACAGAGTCTAGCTCTGTCACCCAGGCTGGAGTACAGTAGTGCCATCTCAGCTCTCTGCCACCTCCACCTCCCAGGTTCAAGTGATTCTGTTGCCTCAGCCTCTGAAGTAGCTGGGGTTATAGCCATGCACCACCACGCCCAGCTAATTTTTGTATTTTAGTATAGACAGGTTTCACCATGTTGGCCAGGCTGGTCTCGAACTCCTGACTTAAAGTGAACCGCCTGCCTCAGCCTCCCAAAGTTCCGAGGTGACACGTGTGAGCCACCGCATCTGGCCAAGACCTATTAAATACTCAACAGGCATTTCTCTCCTGCCTTCTCTCCTGGGACAGGCACTCTGCCCATGTGTGTAATATGTATTTAATACAATCAGCACGTTTTATCATTTGCGTTGGGCAGACTGGATTTTTCTACCTTTTAGCTTACAGGCATTTAGTAAGCACCATAGACTACAGTGATCGCCATGTGAGATACGGCATGGCAAATGGAAAAATGTGGTTTGGGCCATGAGTGTTGTTGGCATCAGAAGGGAGAAGCCCCAGGGCTGGAGCACTCGAGAGGCTTTCTATAGGCGGAGTGACAGAAGCTGAGCCATGTTGGCTGGGGGCATTTAGATAGAGGAAAGAAGGGAAGCTATGCAGGTTCTGCTGGCATTGGCCACCAGTGTGGTCGCCTTGGGGGATGGTGCTGGGGTGAAGCCCAGGGCTGAGGTCCGCTGGGTCAGGACTGGCCGGAGTGGAAGTCAGACTTAGGGACAGGACAGCAAACCCATTCTTACAGCAAACAGAGAACAAGGCTGTTCCTGTGGATGGAGATAGCTCTGAATACCCATTCTCGCCTCGTTAGAACAATCCTGAAAACAATATATGTCAAGAGCCTTGCAGTTACAATGGGGTTTCCCAGCAACCCACAGACTCAGTAACAATTCCACTCCAAGCCTCATTCTTGTGCACATTTAAAATGTAGTCATGTGCCACATAATCAGGTTTCGGTCAACAGACGGCATCTGTGACGGGGGCCCAGGAGATTCTAGGGGAACCGAAAAACTCCCATCACCTAGTGATGTCGTAGCCATCGTGGTGCTGCAGCAACAGGCATTACTCAAGGGTTCATTGCGATTCTGGTGTAAACCTACTGCACTGCCAGCAGTATAAAAAGCCTAGCACATAGTTATATACAGCACATAGCACTTGATAATTATAAACAACAGTTACTGGTTTATGTATTTACCATACTTTTATTATAGTATACTCCTTCTACTTACCAAAAAACAGTTCACTGTAGAGCATCCTCAGGCAGGTCCTTCAGGAGACATTTCAGAAGAAGGCATTGTTATCACAGGAGATGACAGCTCCATGAGTTTTACTGCCCCTAAAGGCCTTCTAGTGGGACAAGATGCAGAAGTGGAAAACAGTGATATTGATGATCCTGACCCTGTAAAGCCTGGGCGAGAGTGTGTGTCTGTGTGTGTCTGTCTTCGTTTTTAACAAAAAGTTTTAAAAGGCCGGACACAGTGGCTCACATCTGTAATCCCAGCACTTTGGGAGGCCAAGGCAGGTGGATCACTTGAGGTCAGGAGTTTGAGACCATACTGACAAACCTGGTGAAATCCTGTCTCTACTAAAAATACAAAAATTAGCCACATGTGGTGGCATGCACCTGTAATTTCAGCTACTCCAGAGCCTGAGGCAAGAGTCCTTTGAACCTGGGCGGTGGAGGTTGCAGTGAGCCAAGATGGTGCCACTCCACTCCAGCCTGGGTGACAGAGTGAGACTCTGTCTCAAGAAATAAAATAAAATTTTAAAAATAAAAGTAGAAAAATTAAAATATTAAGCTCATAGAGTAAAGATCTCAAGAAGAAACATTTTTTGTTCAGTTGTACATTGTGTTTGTTTTAAGTGAAGTGTTATTACAAAAGAGTCAAAGTTAAGGTTATAAAGTAAAAAAGTTACAGTAAGCTAAGGTTAACTTATTATTGAAGAAAGAAAACTATCTTTTATAAGTTGAGGGTAGCCTAAGAGAAGAGTATTTTAAAGTCTACAGTAGTGCACGGTCATGTCCTAGGCCTTCCCATTAGCTCATTGCTTACTCACGGACTCACCCAGAACGACTGCCAGTCCCGCAAGCTCCATGCATGGTGGCTGCCCTGAACGGTGCACCGTTTTCAGTTTTTTATACCATATTTTCCCCATGCCTTTTCTATGTTTAGATACACACATTCTTTTTTTTTTTTTTTTGATGGGGTTTTGCTCTTGTTGCCCAGGCTGGAGTGCAATGGTGTGATCTCGGGTCACTGAAACCTTTGCCTCTTGGGTTCAAGTGATTCTCCTGCCTCAGCCTCCCGAATAGCTGGGATTACAGGCACCCGCCACCATGCCTGGCTAATTGTAATATTTTTAGTAGAGACAGCGTTTCGCCATGTTGGCCAGACTGATCGAACTCCTGACCCTAGGTGATCCACCCACCTCAGTCTTCCAAAGTGCTGGGATTACAGGCATGAACCACGGTGCCTGGCCAAGATACACAAAGTCTTCACATTGTGTTACAATTACCTGCAGTATTCAGTACAGTAATGTGCTATGTGACAAGCTTGTCTAACCCACAGGCTACATGTGGCCCAGGACAGCTTTGAATGTGGCCCACCATAAATTTGTAAACTCTCTGAAAACATTACGAGATTTGTGTGTGATTTTTTTTTTTAGCTCAATAGCTATCATTAGTGTCAGTGTATTTTATGTGTGGCCCAAGACAATTCTTCTTCCAGTGTGGCCCAGGGAAGCCAAAAATAGCCTCGGGCCAGTAGGCTACACCACATATCCTAGTGTGTCGCAGGCTGTGCCCTGTAGGTCTGTGTCTAGGATGTTTGCACAATGACAAAATCACCTGACATCGCATTTCTCAGAATGTGTTCTGTGTTGTTGAGTGACGCGTGACTAAATCATTTTCACCTCCTATTTCGTCACATCTGTGTTTCCACCAACCTTGTAGACCTCAGAGAAGAATCCGACTGGCATTATCTCCAGCTCAGTGACCCCTGGCCAGACCTGGAGCTGTTCAAGAAGTTGTCCTTTGACTACATCATTCACGACCCGAAGTATGAAGATGCCAGCCTGATTTGTTCGCACCATCAGAGTATTAAGAGTGAAGGTCAGACTTCGAATCTCTTGTTTCACCTTCCGAAGCGCATGGGCACAGCCTCTTAAAGGGATGAGCTGGATTTTATTAGGCATGATATCAGGTGGTGATGAATTAACCAGCAATACCTAGTACAGAACTGAAGTCCCCACCTCCCTGTGAAAGGAAGGGAGGAATGCGAAACCTGCGAATCGAAGAGGTGTTGCTCAGGAAGTGCTAAGTGACGATGACAGCACCCTTGCTGATTTTTCACCATCAGAATATTCCAAAGGTTCTGGTTAATAGAAAATAAAAGATGGTGTATGTTTACTTATTAATTTGGAATTGTTGAAATGAGTACACGTGTTCGCTCTCCTCCCTCAGTGTCTTGATCTTTCCCTCCCCCTTAGGGGGTCCCCAGCATCCATGGCGTTGTGACCTGCAGTGTGCCGGGGCCAGTGCGATTATAAACTTAGACTGGAAAAGTTTGGTAAATGCCATGAGAAAGGAAACGACTATATTAGTTCGTTTTTGTGCTGCTGATAAAGACATACCTGAGACTGGGTAATTTATAAAGAAAAAGAGGGTTAAGGGACTCACAGTTCCACGTGGCTGGGGAGGCCTCACAGTCATGGCGGAAGGTGAAAGACATGTCTTACATGGTGGCAGGCAGGAGAGAATGAGAACCAAGTGAAAGGGGAAACCCCTTATAAAACCACTACCACAAGAACAGTACTGGGGAAACCACCCCCACGATTCAGTTATCTCCCACCAGGTCCCTCCCACAACACGTGGGAATTAGGGGAGCTACAATTCAAGATAGATTTGGGTGGGGACGCAGACAAACCATATCAACGACCCACCAGTCTCCATTTTAAACCAACAACTTTATCTTCCTCGCTGTCAGAATAGATCTCTTGCATTTAAAATATTAAGCCCGTAGAATAAGGATATCAAGAAAGAAAACATTTTTGTTCAGTTGTACAATGTGTTTAAGTGTTATTACAAAAGAGTTAAAGAGATAAAAGGTTATAAAATAAAAGGTTATAGTCAGCTAAGTTTAACTTATTTATCCTCCGAGAGGATCCTTCTTGTAGGCCAGTTTCTAATGAAGGCTGAGTGTTAAAATCTGCCAGGTCATTTGAAAAACAAGGGGGGCCGGGCATGGTGGCTCACACCTGTAATCCCAGCACTTTGGGACACTGAGATGGGCGGATCACATGAGGTCAGGAGTTCGAGGCCAGCCTGGCCAACATAGCAAAACCCTATCTCTACTAAAAAAAAATGCAAAAATTACCCAGGTGTAGTGGCAGGCACCTGTAATCCCCAGCTACTCGGGAGGCAGGAGAATCACTTGAACCTGGGAAGTGGAGATTGCAGTGAGCTGAGATCCTGCCACTGTACTCCAGCCTGGGTGACAGAGCAAGACCCTGTCTCTAAGAAACAGAAAAAAAAAAAAAAGAAAAACAAGGGGCAGTTCATCTGCATTCAGTGCTGGCATGTTAAGTTGGCAATCAATTTAAATTGTTGTGTAGTAGATCCTTACATAGGTGCTGATGAAATGTTTTCGGGTACACAGTAAGACATATGGACACTGCTTTTATTAGTTCATCGCACTGACACTTTGTTGTCCTTTGTTGTCTCCTTTGACCAGCTGTCACGTCAGGGCCTGGGGAGGTGAGGCAGTCCTCACCAACCACACAGAATCCTATTGTCTGCTCATTTTGAGCATTTTGGTTTCTGAGCCGGCAGGGGATAGTATTTGCCTTGCTCCCTGCTGGTTTTTAATGCTGGGGATTTTGGTGCAGACAGAGGGATGTCCCGGAAGCCAGAGGACTTTTACGTGCGGCGTCAGACGGCACGGATGAGACTGTCCAAGTACGCAGCCTACAACACATACCACCACTGTGAGCAGTGCCACCAGTACATGGGCTTCCACCCCCGCTACCAGGTAGGCCCCAGCAGCTCCCTGCCAGGCATTTCACCTTGGCTCATGCCATCATTTCAGAGTGGGAGATAGAGAGTTCTAGAAGCCCTAGCCTCCTGATCTACTTGCATCCTCACTTGCCTTCAATTGTCTGTGAAATTATTGCCGGAACTAGAGAACTACAGTTCTTCTGGGGTTGTGTGTTTATCAGCGGCCAAGTTACCCGACTGTGGAGGTGGTTGTCATCTTTAGGTTTCATCAATTTCAGAAGTTAGTCCAATGCAGCAGATGCTCACTGGGTGCTTATTCTGTACCAGGCACTGGGAGGGCAGGGCTGAATCGACTCTGTCCCCCTTCTCCACACTCAGTCTAGGAGGGAGATTTGCATGTAAGCAAAACATAACGATGTGAAGCAGGCAAAAAAAGAGTACTACGGTTGAGGCACAGAAATCCATTGATAAGGGGAGGAATTTGCATTTATTGAGCACCTACTGCATGCCGGCAATGTGCCTAGGCACTTTTTATATATCAGCTTCTCCCAACCTTTTATGCAATATAAAATATTTATCCTGGACACATAGGAATGGATAAGGATCCTGACCCAGGGCTCTGGCTGCCTCAGGCCCTGGCTGGTCACCTGAAGCCAGACCTGCAAGCCACTCAAGGTGTACCACATGTGAACGGTCCTGTCTAGTGTCCTATTTACTTCACACTAAGATCTCATTGTCCCTGTTTTATAAATGAGGATCCTGTTTAGGTGGGGAGTGGAAGATAGCAGATTTGGAAGAATAAATAAGAATTTGCCAAGGGGCCAAGAATTCATAAGATAAAGGGAGAGGGACAGTGTGCGTGGAAGAGGGGAGGTGGGGTTTCCAGGGGATGGGAAGAGACATGGGTTGGGTATTTCTGGAACCTAGACTTCGGGGTAGGTACACTTGGCCAGGAAGCTGTAAGGGCAGGCAGAGGCCAGACCACAAAATACCTGGTGGGCACTGTGGGTAGGGACAAGGACTCTCAGTAGGAAATCCAGGTGGAGCCCAGTGTGGGCAGGGCTGCATTTAGACTGGTCTCTCAGCCCCGTGGAGGTGTCTGGAAGGCTTGTGAGGCTGGTTATTTATAAACAGGGGAGAGAATTTTACATTGAATATTTCCTTTCATTTCAGACCCAGGCAAGGGAGAGAGGGGCGGAGGGAGGCAGCCAGAGTGGGTGGGAGCTAGTGAGATGCCTGGCTGGGGGGCAGAGGCCTGTAGGGTAGCTGATGTCCTGGGCTGCTTCCAGAAAGGCCTGAGGCCAGAGCACTGGCCTCTCTTTCCATCCCTTTTGCAGAGGGAAGCAGCCCGTCTTTTTTTCCCCCGAACCACATGGAATGAAGAAACAGCCCGTCTGCCTGATCTTGAACTTGGCTGTCAGGGCCGTAGCACTAACTGTTTGAGTATGCAATTGTACTGTAGATGAAAGAAAGAACATGGAACAGTTTTTTAAGGGTTAAAATAATTAGTAATCCCGTTCGTTCCAGATAAACTCTCCTAAGGTTTGTTTCTTGGACATGTAGTTTTACTTTCAAGGCAAACGAAAACATGTGAAAACACGTTCTGGATTTTGAAATGTGGGGAACAGGGAAGTGGAGGCTGGAGTTGATGATGACTGTCAGCCCCCAGTCACCCCGTAAGTGTCAGGAGTGAGTGGTGGCATCAGGTCCTGGGGCTGCATCAACAGACACCAGAGTGAGAGGTGGAGGAGAGGCATCCTGTGTTCTGGCCGGCCAGGCTGGCTGCGCCTGGCCTGTGTTCTCAGGGGTGTGCAGGTCTGAGGGCCACAGTGGAAGGAAGAGTGTGCCTGGGATGGTGAGGGGGTCCAAGACCAGCTGGTGGGGTGCCATCTCCATGTGGCTGTGCACCTGCTTGTTCTGTTTTCTTTTCCTTTGCCTTCCAAGGCTCCTTGACCTTATTAATGAAACTGCCTCAGTTGTGTCCTCCTTAACCGCCTCCCCCACCCCAACAAAACCTCTTTCTCCCTCATCTCTGCTACCAAAGAAGGTGCTTTGTGGCTCTAGTAGAACCGTGGCAGAGATTAAGGCAGTGTGTGCTGGTCCGCCTCCTCCCCTGCGGACCCTGGAATGCATAGCACATGCTAGGAGGCGGTGTCAGTAGGGAGGGCCACAGGCTGGAATTGGGGTGGGGGAGCCTAAGAGGATAAGGGCAAAGCTGGGCTGGAGGTCACACCCAAGAGCAGCACATGCACAGATGCGGCGTGTGGGGCTTCAGGGAAGTGGAGGCTGGAGGAGGTGACTAAGGTCACAGCCAGACTTGGGGACAGGAGTGAGCCCAAGGTGTCGAAATGTCAGTTTTCACATCTGTAAGATGGGGATGATGACAGTACTGCTTTGTAGGGTTGTGCATCACAGCACACAGGACAGAACATTGCTGGTGAGCAGTGTTCTGGAAGTGTCCAAGCGTATGCAGCTCCTGTTAATATGTGCTGGCACATAACCATGATGGAAAAATACATTTATTAGAATTTAAAATGGGCTCTGTGGCATGACTGCTATAGTTGGTGACCCAGAACAGGATTCTGGCTCAAAGCCAGGGGGACCAGAAAGCTTGGCACCTGTGTGGCACAGCTGGGTGAGGCCCCATTCGGACTGAGGACAGGAGCAGGCCCTCGGGTGTGCTTGCCCCATCACCAGCCCTGGGTGTCTGCACCTGGCACTGGAGCCCCCCTGTGGGTTTCTTGTGCTGTAGGGCAGAGGTGATCGTGAGCTGCGTGTTGTCACAGCAGGGTGGGCCTGGGGTCTTCTGGGAAGCAGGCCGGACTCTGACGGCAAGCTCTGTCCTTTCCCCCCACACCCCAGCTGTATGAGTCCACCCTGCACGCCTTTGCCTTCTCTTACTCCATGCTAGGAGAGGAGATCCAGCTGCACTTCATCATCCCCAAGTCCAAGGAGCACCACTTTGTCTTCAGCCAACCTGGAGGCCAGCTGGAGAGCATGCGACTGCCCCTCGTGACAGACAAGGTACTGCTCAGAGACCCAGTGGGGCAGATCCAAGTGGCTTCAAACGGGGACTGAGCTGGGGCCTGGAGACTGAGCTGCCTGACGAGGGAGCGCAGACACCGATGATACAGTGACTGAGCATGGAGAGGCTGGTGGCGCACACGGGCTCTGGAGTCACCCGGTTCAAGCCTCAGTGTTGCTCCACCACTTACTAGTTGAGTTATTTGAACACACCACTTAGTATCTCTGAGCCTTGGTTTCCTCATTGAAATGCCGGATAGTAGTAGCTTGCAAAAGCTTGTGGTGGGAACTATTTGGAATAACTGATGAAAGGTACTAGCTCCATGCCTGGAAAATAACAGGAGCTGGGTAGATTTCACCCGCCCCCTCTTTTCCTGAATGCTCTTGTGGGTAACATTCAGTGTAGGTTTAGGCAGATGGAACAGTACAGCGGCCCCTTAGGGCCCATTACCAACTCCAGCAGTTGCTAACTCATGGCCAGCCTTGTTAGGTCTGTCTCTCTCTCCTCTTCTCCCTTCCTGTTTGGAAGTAAATCCCAGACCTCAAATCATGTCATCTGTCTAGAGATATTTCTGGATGTAGATATTTCAGTGTATCTCTCTAAAGGGCACGTTTCCTTTATCTTTTAATGAGATTATTTGGAATACTCCGTTGTCTCTGACCATTCTTGTCGAGATGCTCCTTGTAGAGCTGTTGGTTTAACCGACGGTGCCCACCTGGTCATCTCAGAGTCAGCTGGCTGCTCTTTAGCCAGCCCCACTCAATGCAGGCCATGTGGAAAGGCTGCTTTTCCTTCTCCAGAGCGCCAGGCACCTGTGGACTTGCACCTGGCCTTTCAGACCCAGCAGCCTGTTATTAAGCAATGAAGATATATGTAATGTATCCCAGTGGCCTTCATTGTAAGGTACCTCCTACCCCATGGGCTGGGGTTGGGAGTTGCGGTGAAATTCTATGGGTGAAATAGGAGAGCTGGGATTTCTCTACCACTCTTCTCACCTTCCAGCCTTCCTGGTGGAGCTGGCCATGAGCACCAGCTGCATGCACAGTGCTGTGGCAGGTGCTTTGAGGAATTTAGAGGGAGCAGATGGCCTAGCTCTGCCAGATGAACTTATTATTAAGGAAGGAGTTGAAGAAAACAGTTATTTACATAAAAAACAACCCAAGTGGGTAGCTAAGCTCTACGGGGCAGTGATTGGGAGGGGGGTGTTGTGTGTTCATAGTGTATAGAAAATTAAAGACATACACGAATAATGTGTACTCTGGGCACAATATTAGATTCTAATATGAGAGGGTAATGAATTTGGCAAATTGCTGTATGCCAGTTAGTTGCTATTGCCTAACAAACAATTCCCAAATAAGCATTAGCTTTGGGATCTGTGGGCTAGCAGTTAGGGCTTGGTTCAGATGGATGGTTTTCTGGGCTCCGTTGTACTCACTCGTGTGGATCATGAGCCGGCAGCTTGTCTGGGAGCTGGCTGGTGTCAAGTGGCCTCAGCTGGGCTGTTGAGCTCTGCTCCATGTGGTCTCATCATCCAGCAGGCTAGCCCGGGCATGTGCATGGGAGAGCTCTAAGAGGGAGCAGAACGTGTAAGTCCTCTTGAGGCTATGCCCAGGATTGACACAAGGTCGTTTTTTTCATCCTTTTACTGGTAAAAGCAAATTGCAACGCTGAAAATTCCAGGAGTATGAAAAGGGTCATCATTCTTTGAATGGAAGATGCTGCAAAGTCACGTGTCAAGGGAATAATTGCGATCATGTTTACAGTCTACCTCATGATACCTGTATTTTGCAGAGCCATGAATATATAAAAAGTCCGACATTCACTCCAACCACTGGCCGTCACGAACACGGGCTCTTTAATCTGTACCATGCAATGGATGGTGCCAGCCATTTGCACGTGCTGGTCGTCAAGGAGTACGAGATGGCGATTTATAAGAAGTACTGGCCCAACCACATCATGCTGGTGCTCCCCAGCATCTTCAACAGCGCTGGAGTTGGTGGGTGTCCTTTGACCTCATCTACTCAGTCAAATGCCTGTGAATGAATGCTTGAGAGAGTATTCTAGAGACGAAAGTTAAACATGTGACGTCAAGCCTTTTACTTTTGGACTTTTAAAGCTATTTTGATTTTGTTTGACTTTTTTTTTTTTGACTTTTTTATGCAGTCTTCCCCACCCCCGCCTTCAGTATTTGGTTTTCCATTTAATTGATATTTTCTCTTTTTTTGAGATGGAGTTGCGCTCTGTCACCCAGGCTGGAGTGCAATGGCACGATCTCGGCTCATTGCAACCTCTGCCTCACGGGTTCAAGCGATTCTCCCACCTCAGCCTCCCAAGTAGCTGGGATTACAGGCACCAGCCCAGCTAATTTTTTTTTTTTTTTTTGAGATGGAGTTTCGCTCTTGTTACCGAGGCTGGAGTGCAATGGCGCGGTCTCGGCTCATCGCAACCTCTGCCTCCTGGGTTCAGGCAATTCTCCTGCCTCAGCCTCCTGGGTAGCTGGGATTACAGGCACGCGCCACCAAGCCCAGCTAATTTTTTGTATTTTTAGTAGAGATGGGGTTTCACCGTGTTGACCAGGATGGTCTCGATCTCTTGACCTTGTGATTCACCCTCCTCGGCCTCCCAAAGTGCTGGATTACAGGCATGAGCCACCGCGCCCGGCCCAATTTTTGTATTTTTATAGAGACAGGGTTTCACCACGTTAGCCAGGATGGCGTTGGTCTCCTGACTTCGTGATCTGCCTGCCTCAGCCTCCCAAGTGCTGGGATTAAGGTGTGAGCCACCACTCCCGGCCGGAGTGGCTCTTTTATACAGGGGTGCATGGAGGGTACTGGGCCAGACCGTGGGTGCTTCTCACGGTTACAACCAAAATGAATTAAGTTTAATAGGAAGTATGCTAGCCTGAAGCTGGGCTGGGGAAGCAGGGAACCCTGTGCTATAGGAAGCAGGAGAAGGAAGAATAAAGTTGTTCTTTTCCTGGGTTTAGAAGAAGAAAAATGAGAAGCACTTTTTACATCTTATACAATGTTGGTCATGATGGTCTTGAACTCCTGACCTCAGGTGATCTGCTGCCTCCGGCCCCCTAATGTGCTGGGATTACAGGCGTGAGCCACTGTGCCCAGCCAAATTGATATTTTCAATGGTTAGAGAAGAAAGCATAAGAAAGCAAATGTGTGTTTCGCTTGGAGAGGGTGTTTTCTTCCCTGTAGTTTTCTCTCCCTAGTCCATGGCCCGTGATTTGTGACAGGTGATGACATCAGGAAGGCTGGAGCTGGTCTGTCGGAGCGGCCTTGACGGCAGAATGTGCATGGGGTCTGTCCGGTGTGGGTGTGGGTGCAGGACAGCCCTGAGTCTATTTACTTTGCCCTCTGCAGGAGCCGCCCATTTCCTCATCAAGGAGCTGTCCTACCACAACCTGGAGCTTGAGCGGAACCGGCAGGAGGAGCTGGGGATCAAGCCGCAGGACATCTGGCCTTTCATCGTGATCTCTGATGACTCCTGCGTGATGTGGAATGTGGTGGATGTCGACTGTGCCGGGGAGAGAAGCAGGTGAGGTGGCCAAGAGCACCACCGCCTGTTCCCCTGTGAATGATGATGAGCTGGTGTGCCCTCTTTGTATGGGGAACGCTCCCCACCCCTGGAAGACCAGAGGGCCTCTCATATTAGAAGGGGTAGTTGTGGTTGCCAGAGCCGCATGGTAAACGTGCCAATCCTGGCTTGCTTTTAGTTTTAAAAAATTGTTATTGAAGTATAATGTAGAAAAACACGGTATCTATTTAGTATAATATATAGACGAAAAGGAAAGTGTAATACATATGCAGGAATTTTCCCAAACTGAGTACATTCATTTAACCAACTCTGAGATCGAGAAAGGGATCTCAAGAAGGGGGTCACTGCCCCCAGAAACACACTCCCTGCTGCCTCTAGCCCCACCCCTCCTCAGTAGCCTGCCTGCTGACTCCTGGCTTTATTTTTATTTGCTGTATGACTTCAGGCAAATGGCTAAATCGTTTGGGTTCTGGTTTCCTCGCCTACGATGGGTTTGTTGTGAGAATTGACTAAATCATGGTCTACACCTGTGTTCAGCACATAGAAGAAATGAGCCCATGGGGAGCACCCAGCAGGGTGCCTGGCCCTCAGGCAGGGGGACTGTGTGGGGCACCCAGCCCGTCCCGGTGTTCTTGGCAGTCTGAGAGCTGGTGCCACGCCGCCTGGTCCCAAGGGCTTTCCTGCTGCTCGCGTGCCGGCCTCTGGACGCACTCTCCCTCCTTCGAGCAGGGAGTTCTCCTGGTCAGAAAGGAACGTGTCTTTGAAGCACATCATGCAGCACATTGAGGCGTCCCCGAACATCACGCACTATGCCCTGCTGGGGCTGCGGAAGTGGTCCAGCAAGACCCGGGCCAGCGAGGTACGGGAGCCCTTCGCCCGCTGCCACGTGCACGACTTCATTATTCTCAATGTGGACCTGACCCAGAACGTGCAGTACAACCAGAACCGGTGAGCTCCTGTGCCCGGGGCAGAGGAGGTGGCGACCTGTGTGGGGGGGCAGAGCCCTGAGTGAGGACAGCCTCAGGCCGCACCAGGGGTCCTGGCTGTGAGCACTGGCCTGGCCCTGCTCTCAGTTGTCCCAGTTTTTTTAGTGCTGAATAAATTTGAGTATTCGCAGATCATTGAGTTTCATTCAGCAATTCTCAGGATGCTTTATTTAGGGAGTTAAATTGGACTGGTGTTTTTCTTGCCTTTTTGGTTCCTTCTCCAAATACATGGCTGTTTAGGATCTTTAGCGCTGAAGGAAATTATAATTTTCAAAGGTTTCTGTACATACCTAGTCACATCTCTAGAGGATTCAATTGCTCAGTGTTCATGGAGTGCCTCTCTACGCTGAGCAGTGGGCCACAGCCTGCAATAGCCCCTGGAATGGTGTCGGCTTTGGAGCCAGACTGACTGGCCCTCTGGGAACCTGGATTCTCCTGCGTTTCATCTTTGCGGTGCAGACAGGCTGGCCACCTCTGATCCCTACTCTCCTTAGCTTTAAAAAGTGGCTCATGGGCTGGGCGCAGTGGCTCACGTCTGTAATCTCAGCACTTTGAGAGGCTGAGGCAGGTGGATCATGAGGTCAGGAGTTCGATACCAGCCTGGCCCACATGGTGAAACCCTGTCTCTACTAAAAATACAAAAATTAGCTGGGCATGGTGGCACGTGCCTGTAATCCCAGCTACTCAGGAGGCTGAGGCAGGAGAATCACTTGAACCGGGACCCAGGAGGTGGAGATTGCAGTGAGCTGAGATCATACCACTGCACTCCAACCTGGGCTACAGAGTAAGACTGTCTAAAAAAAATAAAGTGGCTCCTGTTTTTACCCTGGGAGGTTTTTTGTTGTTGCTTTCTTTTTAACCGATGCATGAGGTTGTGTTGGTAACATTTCTCATGTGCACTTGGCCTCTGGCATCTGGTCATCACAGGCGGTCCTTGTATGGCTTAAGCCTTTGGTACATAGTGCCTTTCCTGGTGCAGAGATGTCCCTGTTTGTCCTGGGGGTTTTCCTTGTTTGTTTTGCCTTCTATTCCCCCTAGAGGAATGTCTGGAGGCAGGAATGAAGCCCACTCCACCTTCATAACCCCCTACGATGGGGCCCACACTCTGGGTGCTGAGGGTCGTGGCAGAGGGTGTGAGCTGTACCCCCTCAGACCACCCCTCCTCTGGCCCTGAGTAGGTTCATGTGTGACGATGTAGACTTCAACCTGCGCGTGCACAGCGCCGGCCTCCTGCTCTGCCGGTTCAACCGCTTCAGCGTGATGAAGAAGCAGATCGCGGTGGGTGGGCACAGGTCCTTCCACATCACGTCCAAGGTGAGCTCCTCGCTGCTGGGCAGGCCTCTGCAGCCACCGCCTGTGTGGCCCTGGCATACAAACAGGGTGGGAGCCATCGGGGGAGGCTGTCTCTTTCAAGCCCATGGAAATGGCTTTCCTGACCCAGCAGGTAGGGTCAGTAAAGGTTTCTAATCGGCATTGATCCCTGGGAAGTGACAGGCTCCGTGGGGTTTCTCTTCTACCTCTGATACTAACCAGTATCCTGCAAGCTTCTGCTCGCTGCAAGACTACAATCATGCCTTTCTGTGTGTTCTCACCGCCCCAGCTGTGTGAGATCTCAGGCCACCTCTTTCCTGGGGCCCTGGGATGGTACCTGGCTGCACAGCTATTTGAATGGCTCTGCAGGCCGGCCCGATAGCCATACTGTCTGTCCGCGGGGCAGCCTCGGGGTGGGGAGAGACCTGGTATGATTATGTCTGTTCTAGCTGAGCAGGCCCGGGGAGTTCAGGTGTAAAATCACAGCAGTCTGGATAGCTCCGTGTCTTCCAGGAAACAATGCAGCAGGGGTGTCTCTGCCTGAAGGTCTCCCCAGTCCTGTGGGCCAGAGCCCCTTTCTCCGTCACTTCTGTCTGTCTTGATCCTGTCCTAATGCCACCAGCTGACTTTCCTGGCCTCTATCCCTCCTCATTTCTGTAAACTCTTGGTGGAGGTACCTATGTTGAGGTGCACGGGGTCTGAACTGGGACACCAGGTCCATTTCCTGACCCCCAGAGGCAGGGATTGCACCTTTTCTGGGAGTGCAGGGCCTATCCTCATTTCTCTTGGAAAGTAGCAAGACCTTTAAGTAAAAGGCCCCCACCTCCACCATCATTGATATCTTAAAGTTGTGTGAGGTTTGTTGTTTAATCAGAGGAGAACAGACACCTTTACCATGTCTCCACCAAAGGGCTGGATGTGCCTTTAAAACTACCTTTTCTTTTATGTCCCTCAGTGCCATTTTTAAACTCTTAAGTATTTTATCTTTATTATTTGAACATAGTCTGATTTTTCTATTAGGTTTGATTGCATGTTGGTCACACATTAGGAAACTAGTCACGTCGTATAATCTTTCGTGTGATTGAAATCAGTGCATTGTTTTCATTTATTCATTAAATATTTACTGAGCCCCCAATCCCCATGCTCAGGAGTCCACAGCCCAGCAGCTGGGGCAGATGTTAGACAAATAGCTAGTTAAGGACCATCATGAGAAGCAGCACAAAGGCGAAGTGTGTGGTGGGGAGACCTGAGCCTGTGGGAGTCTCGGGGGAAGTGATGTGGAAGCAGAGACCTAGAGGAAGAGATGGAGCCACATGCCCGGGCAGGGGCACGGGCAGGGGCAGTGGTAGGGGTGGAGCAGGGGCAGGGAAGGGGTAGGGGTGGGGCAGAGGCAGGGGCAAGGTCATAGGCAGGGGCAGGGGAGGAGATGGGCATGGCAGGGACAGAGGCAGGGGCAGGGGCATGGGCAGGGGCAGCGGCAGGGGCTGGGGCAGGGACATGTGCAGGGGCATGGGCGGGGCGGTGGCACGGACACAGGCATGGGCATGGGTGGGGGCATGGGCAGGGGTGGGGGCAGGGGCAGTGGCATGGGCAGGGGCACGGACAGGATGCCTTCAGCGGGTGAAGGTGCAGGAGGGTAGGAGCGAGGAGGTTGGTGTGGAGGACGGGGAGCGGGGCAGTGGATCAGGCAGGCCTTCCCAGCCATGCAAAAGACTTTCCTCTGGGACTTATAGCAGGGAAGCCAGTGAGATTCTGATTTACGTAGATGTAAACGTTTTGGTGATGGAGCAAGAGGTGGGAGGATACCGCTGTGGGTGGAAAGAGCCCGGGGCTGGGTGGGACATGGACAGGATCTTTGGTGGGAAGCTGGCCACTCCCAGGGACGTGAGTCCCCAGGCCCACAGGTTCTCTTGTTTTCTCTAGACCAGACAGCTGTTTTCTTGCATGGAATGATCAGTGTCTATAATTCTTACCGACTGGGTTGATTCATTTTCACAAGTCTCTTTCATGTTTCCCTTTAGTAAAAACTAATATTTCTCAACACAGAATTTTATTCCTGAAGTATGTGTTCTGAGTTCATTCCCCTGAGCAACACGAGCTAGCTGCCATGCCTGGGCTGCCCCATGCAACTCAGGAGCCGAGGGAAGGTCCTCTCCCCTCAGGGAGGTTGGGAGTGGCCTGATGCCCTTCTTCCCACACAGGTGTCCGATAACTCCGCAGCGGTCGTGCCGGCCCAGTACATCTGCGCCCCGGACAGCAAGCACACGTTCCTCGCGGCACCCGCCCAGCTCCTGCTGGAGAAATTCCTGCAGCACCACAGCCACCGCTTCTTCCCGCTCTCCCTGAAGAACCGTGACCACCCCGTGCTGTCCGTCGACTGCTACCTTAACCTGGGATCTCAGGTGACTTTCAGACGGGGTGCTGTGAATCCCTGTCAGAGAAATCTCTAGAACTGATGGGCTGGAATTGGGGACTGAATCCTAAGTCCTCAACTCCTTTGTCTCAGGGTTGACCCCACTTTATAGCTTTTGCCATTCAGCTGAGAGAGCTGAGATGCTTTGCCCAGACATAAGAAGATAGGAAGCCAACCAAATTCTGATGCCCAAACATTTATTATTATTTTTGAGATGGAGTTTTGCTCTTGTTGCCCAGGCTGGAGTGTAGTGGCACGATCTTGGCTCACTGCAGCCTCCACCTCCCGGGTTCAAGTGTTTCTCTGCCTCAGCCTCCTGAATAACTGGGATTACAGTCCCGTGCCACCACACCTGACTAATTTTTGTATTTTTAGTAGAGATGGGGTTTCGCCATGTTGGCCAAGCTGGTCTCAAACTCCTGACCTCAGGTGATCCGCCCACCTCGGCCTCCCAAAGTGCTGGGATTACAGGTGTGAGCCACCAGGCCTGGCCCAAATATTCTGATTCTCTGATGAACTCATGACTAGATAAATCTGGATAAAACTTCTATAATTGATTTTTCAGATACTGATTTGGAAATGACATGAAAATATTGTCTCTGGTCCCCCAAAATTTTGAGCTGAACCAAGCAGTTTGCATTTACTAGATGCAAACTGTGGTATAACGTTACTGAGCATTTCATAGAAAACACTGCTTTCTCTTGGATTTCTTTTTCAGATTTCTGTTTGCTATGTGAGCTCCAGGCCCCACTCTTTAAACATCAGCTGCTCCGACTTGCTGTTCAGCGGACTGCTGCTGTACCTCTGTGACTCTTTCGTGGGAGCTAGCTTCTTGAAAAAGTTTCATTTTCTGAAAGGTAACTCCGTACTCTTAACCCTGGACCTTGTCTTCAATGTCTGTCATCACCAGGTACCCTGAGGAGGGGACTCTGGTCCTAGTCCTTATTTGCCCTGGGTAAACTGAGGATCAGAGAGGGAAGTGACTGCTTCAACCACCCAGGGAAGTGCAAGCGAGCTGGGATTGGATCCCCAGAAGCTCTCTTTCCCTGTACGTGTTTGGGTAGAGACAAGTCCCCCTTTCTTTAGATGAATCACAGACATTTTTAATATTTGTGTTTTCCTATTCCCTTTCCTTTCCTTTATCCTTTCTCTTTTTTCTTTTCTTTTCTCTTTTCTTCTTTCTTTTTGGAGTTTCACTCTTGTCGCCCAGGCTGGAGTGCAGTGGTGCCATCTCGGCTCACTGCAACCTTTGCCTCCTGGGTTCAAGCGATTCTCATGCCTCAGCCTCCCGAGTAGCTGGGATTACAGATGCCTGCCACCATGCCCAGCTAATTTTTTTTAGTTTTAGTAGAGACTGGGTTTTACCATGTTAGCCAGGCTGGTCTCAAACTCCCAACCTCAGATGATCCACCCGCCTCAGCCTCCCAGAGTGCTGGGAATACGGCGTGAGCCACTGCGTCGGTCATTTGTGTTCTTTTCCAACCTGAATCCTTCACACCAGTGTCTCAGTCGTTGCTGATGCTCTTCCTCCTGGTGGAGGAGGCTTCTTCCTCGTCCTGGGAGGTTCTGCACCACCTTGACTTTTGCTCCAGTCTTCTTCCTTTATGCGCCAGCTGGTTGAGAATGACAAGCACTTGTTCTGCCTGACTTGAAAACACAATTTCCAGTCTGCATTTCCCGTCCTGCTCAGATCCCTCGCTGACCTTCCCTTTCCTTGGTGGTCCTTGGCCCTGACCTTCCACTCTAGCAGGCACTGAATGAGCACCAGCAGCATCTAACGCCTTGGGAAAGATTGAGAGGTTTCTACAGCAGTCTCTGCCTCAGGAAACATTTCATCTAAAGCTGGGGAGGGAGCAGAGAGGGAAAGTGGGAGGGAGACCCGGTTGAGGTGTCGCTGTGTGCTGGGAGTAGAGAGGAAGGAGAATTCCTGCAGCTGGCATGTGGGATGGGGCAGGGGAGGGGGACGGGGTGGGGGGGTGCCTCGGGCCTGCATGGGTGGCAGAAGAGGGGGATGAAGCTGTGGGGTGGGGTAGGTAGGGTGGGGTACATGAGCTACCGGCTGGGGCTGAGGATGCTTGGTTTGCGACCCAACCCGCCTCTCTCCTTCCGCCCGCACCTCAGCTCATTCCCTGCCCAGCTTTCCTTCTGCCGCCGCGTTTCTCCCCCGCAAACCTACCACATTCCCAGCCACACTCCTGTCTTGCTAAGATTGTACATCATCCTGAAAGAGCAAGAGGCCGACCTGCCGCGCCTCTGCCCTTCCCAGAAGCGCCCTGGTTTGTCATTGCAAGTAGAATCCCGGCAGCCGCTTTCATCTGGATCAACTCACCTTTTCCCTTCCCACACCTCTGGCGTTGTCCACGCAGGTGCGACCTTGTGTGTCATCTGTCAGGACCGGAGCTCCCTGCGCCAGACGGTCGTCCGCCTGGAGCTTGAGGACGAGTGGCAGTTCCGGCTGCGTGACGAGTTCCAGACGGCCAATGCCAGGGAAGACCGGCCGCTCTTTTTTCTGACCGGGCGACACATCTGAGGAAGACAGCGGCGAGTCTTCTGGAAGAGATGAGTGCTCAGAGCCCTCGAGCTGTTGAGGCCAAAGGGAGGCCTGGATCGTGGGGTGTTTGACTGGAACGGACCCCAGGGACTATCCACGGTGCAGCCCTTCGCAGTGCACATGGGCCCCTGAGGCTGTGGTCCTGGGAGCCAGGAGGAGGAGTCTGCAGTGGGTGGGGATGAAAACCTGAGACTCCCCAGGTCTGGGCCAGCCCCTTGCCCTGGGCTGTTTTGAAGTCCATTTCGCGAAGAACAAAGATTTGCTCCCTGTCCTGCCATTCGTTTGCTTCCATGGACGAACCTGATTTTTCTCTTAGTTTAAGGAATCTTGGGTTATTTTGTAGCAGCGCCAGTATTTCAGTAGATGGTATTTCAGCCATGTAGGTTCCCCTGTAACCTCCTACACAGCAATATTCCAAAGGAACATTTTAACTGTAAAGGCTGGAGGCAAGAAAAAATAAGTAGATCGTATTAATACGAATTATTTAATTGCCTATAAGTTTGCTGTTTCAGAAGCTAGCCCAAAGGCATCACATTTAATAAAATAACAAATGGATTTACTTCAGAGCAAATATGATCCTACTAAAATAACATAGGGTAAATACCCTACCTCTTAGAAAGGGCAAAAATGCAAAGAAGCTTTTTTTTAAAACTAAAGGGTTTTTTTTTTTGAAGGGAGGAAATGAGGCTGACAGAGGTTGACCTAAAATTTGCCTTACAAAGGGAAGAGGACTACATCACTTACTTGAAACAAACAATGAAAACAACCAAAGTGATAGATGAAATAGTTGGTGAGAACTAGATGTACGACTATAATTTACTAGAGTTTAGTTTTCAGTTCCTGAAGTAGCTCGTTTTCTCTTACTGATGTTTGGTTCCTTGGGGAAGAATCTCATTTGACTAGAGAGGAGGTGGGAACAGAAGAGAGGAGACAGGGAGAGAGATTTCCTCGGCTCACCCTTCACAGCCTGACAGATGGTTTTTAAAGCCACAGGTGAGAGGGCCACCCATTGCCCAGGCGCCTCAGCAGTGATCATCTTATTCATCTTGTTTAATCCTTTCTTGTGTGATTGGAATTATTCTTCCCCTTTGAAAGACGAGAAGGTTGAGATGCAGAGTGCGCCTGTCCAAGTTCTCACAGCTGGAAAGAGCGAGAAGCACAGCTCAGACTCCTGGTTTCTGAGCTCTACAGTTTGAAGCGGCACCTAACTTGAAGGAAAAGTGTAGACAGTTTAGTTTAATCATGAGAATGCATTCTCTTTTTTGAGACGAAGTTTTGCTCTTGCTGCCCAGGCTGGAGTGCAATCCCAGCTCACTGCAACCTCTGCCTCCTGGGTTCAAGTGATTCTCCAGCTTCAGCCTCCCAAGTAACTGAGATTACAGGTGTCTGTCACCACGCCTGGCTAATTTTTTAAATTTTGTTTTTAGTAGAGATGGGATTTCGCCATGTTGGCCAGGCTAGTCTTGAACTCCTAGCCTCAAGTGATCCGCCAACCTCGGCCTCCCAAAGTGCTGGGATTACAGGCATGAGCCGCTGCTCCTGGCCTCAGAATGCATTCGTAGACATCTATCCTAGACATATATAAGCACTCTGATGGATAACAATCCCAGAAGAAATGATTTTAAAAGATGATGCCAAAGAGTTGATGTCAATCTTTTTTTCCCTAAGAAAAAAAAGTCCACAAGTATCAAACATTTAGATCAATGTTTATAAAATGATCGCTTTGCATAGGTCATTATTCCTATTTCAGAATAAAAACTGACCTTCGTTAGTCATACTTGTCTTTTGTAAATAGCAGCTTCTGTGTCATTCTCCCTGTTTTATTAATTTAAATTGGAAAAAACCTCAAACTAATATTCTTGTCTGTTCCAGTCTTATAAATAAAACTTATAATGCATATATTGTTTTGTTGGTGGGTATTCATAGCATTGTTTTGAGAGAAGGTAGCGTGGCTATTCACCTCTGGGGACTACCGGCTTCAAATGGATAGTTTTGGAAAAGAAATAAGGATAAAGCCGTAAAAGTGGAGTATATTAACATGTTGCAGAATTCCTGATGATTAAAAAGGTAGACTGCATTGGATGTACAGGAGAACAAATATGGAGGAAACCAGCTTAGAATGTGCAGAATGGCCTGCCACCAAGGGACAATGGTTTGGGGACACTCTGAGCTTCATGGTGGCTGCAAAGGGCAGAAGGGGACCTGGGGCATTTGTCCAGATGAGTAACAGGGGAAGTGGTTTGCAGTGGTGAGTGTGGTTGATTCCCTCAGTGCTCCCCACCACGCTCCCCATACTCCACTGACCTGGGCTAAGCATCTGATAATGGCCAAGGAAAGTATGGAACCTAAGGAGGAGGAGGACATGGGGGAGCCAGCCCTTTGTGATGACAAGCCATTGACACTCCTCTCTCCTTGGCATGCCCTAATTCTCATAAATGTTTGAGGCTGTTTATGGTAAACAGAAGAAACAAGCAAATAGGAGCTCCTTAGCACAGAAATAAACACACAACTAAGACTCAGAAAAAATGTAGGAAACAATATAGCGAAGAAAAGGTGGTAACCTCTGTGAAGAGTCAGTAAAGCAAACTTATGAAGCAAGTGTAATTAAAATAAGAAAGAAGTAAGATGCTAATGCTCCCAGAAACACACAAAAAGTAATTATAGATCTTGGAAATGAAAACTAAAACCTCAATAGGCAAGTGAAATAGCCAGATAGACATGCTCAAGAGACTAGAGCCAGAAGCTGCAGCCTGGAGGTCTGTAAGAGACCGCAGAAAGGAACAGCGATCAGTGCCAAGCCCTGGAAACCCCTGCCACAAAGGGAAGATGGTTTGGGGACACTCTGAGCTTCACGGTGGCTGCAGAAGGCAGAAGAGGCCCTGGGGCATTTGTTCAGATGATTAACAGGATGTGGTTTGGAGCTGGGAGCCTGGTTGATTCCCTGCAGCGCTCCCCACCACGTTTCCCATACTCCACTGACCTGGGCTAAGCATGTGACCATGGCCAAGGCCAGTGGCCCCCTTGCTCACTGCCCGTCAGCCCCCTGGACCCCTGCCAGGCCAGTGCCCACTCAGACCCGCTGCTCCTCATGCCAGGAGTGCTCATCCCTCTAGTCCCTTGGATCCCTCCCACACTCTGATGTTCCCTTGCTACTCAGTCGCCTTCCCAATGAGGCCATCCCAGATGAGGGAACTACTGACATAGAATACATTTGTGTTATTTTTGTCTCCTCCCATGAAGGTAGGAATTCGGTTAGACACATTCAGTGCTGCACGCCCAGAGCTTTGAATTTGCCCAGCTCGTGCCATGTGCTCATTAAATGCCCACTCAGTGAATGAGTGAATCTCTCACACCCTCAATGATCTCAACATGGGAGCAGGGGTGGGAGTGATCGGTGATGGAGAAACTGAGAAAATAGTGAAATGGGCTGAAATTCTTGATTTGCTGGGTAATTAAGAGTAATTAATATGCTAGTAGAAAAGGAACTCTTAAGTATGCATGTGAAGCATTTAGGGTGACCACTGGGAGAAAAGGAAGGATGTCCAACATCTAAAATATTAAAGGGAAGACAGCAGTGACCAAATCAATGAAGTCCAACATAAGGAAAGAACAGTTGGGGATGGGGAAAGCAACAGGAAATCTTGGTAAATAAGAAACAAAATTGATGGCAGGTGTGTGTGTCCGTTTGCATGTTACCATAAAGGAGCACCTGAGACTGGGTAATTCATAAGAGGTTTAATTGGCTCACAGTTCTGCAGGCTGTATAGGAAGCATGGTGCTGGCATCTGCTCCTGGGAAGGCTTCAGGAAGCTTCCAATTATGGTGGAAGGTGAAGGGGAGCAGACACATCACGTGAGAGCAGGAGCAAGAAAGAGGCGGGGAGGCGCTGCACTTTTAAACAACCGGATCTCACATGAACTCAGAGGGAGAACTCACTCATCCTGAGCACAGCACCAGGCAATCCAAGCACCATGGAATCTGCCTTATGACCTCAACACCTCCCACCAGGCCCCACCTTCAACACTGGGGATCGCATTTCAACATGAGATTTGGAGGGGGCAAACATCCAAACATATCAACAGTCAAATATAAGTGGATTAAGTTTACCTAATAATAGATTGAGGTGCTCAGATTGGGTTAAGAAAGCTAATCAGAATAGAATTTAATATTTTGATCACAAACCGCTGTAGACATTCGCACATGCTATGAAATACATAAAGTGGGAGCTGTTTGAAATATGAGAAGAGGGCCAGGCATGGTGGCCCAACACCTGTAATCCCGGCACTTTGGGAGGCTGAAGTGGGAAGACTGCCTGAGCTCAGGGTTAGAGACTAGCTCGGGCAACATGGCAAGACCCCATCTCTATAAAAAATATATATATATAAGAAAAATGCATAAATTCTGTAGTCATAAATAGAGACCACGCCGTCTCTCTCAGAAACAGAGGAAGGACACCAATAGAAATGGTATTTGATGGGCATGGTAACATGTTTGACATAAAAGTTAGCTTCAAAGGAGAGAGACTTCTGTGTTACACAGATAATTCCAGAAAATCAGGAAATGTTCTGGAGCTAGATAGTAGTGATTGTTACACAACATTGTGAATATGCTAAATGTCAATAATAGTAAATTTTTCAGTATAGTTTACCACCATAAAATAAAACTTCCAGAGCACTGGAAAATATAGACATCTATACTTCTGCAGGGCCAGAAATATCACTAATCCCAAACCAGTGAAGAATAATAAATAGGGGCAGGGGAGGGCCAGTGGGGGGTGGGGAGGGTGGGGAGGGATAACATGGGGAGAAATGCCAGATATAGGTGACGGGGGGATGAAGGCAGCAAAACACCTTGCCATGTATGTACCTATGCAACAATCCTGCATGATCTGCACATGTACCCCAGAACCTAAAGCACAATAAAAAATAATAAAATTTTAAAAATAATAAACACATTCAAAACAATTATGGCTCTAGTTTCTTTTTTTCCTTTAAGGAACAATTTTTTTTAACTACTTGTATAATTTACTCATTTTTAACTTTTGTGGGTACATAGTAGGTGTATATATTAATGGGGTACATGAGATCTTTTGATATAGGCACAAAAAGTATAATAATCACATCAGGGTAATGGGGTATCCATCACCTCAAGCATTTACTGTTTCTATATGTTATAAACAAGCATATTCTTATTTTTAAATGTTCAATAAATTATTGACTGTAGTCATCTTGTTGTGCTGTCAAATACTGGATCTTATTCTCTATAACTGTATTTTTGTACCCATTACACATCCCTACTCCCCCTTCCCCCAACTACTGTTCCCAGCCTTTGCTAACCATCATTCTACTCTCTATCTCTATGAGTTCAATTGTTTTAATTTTCTTCGCTCCCACAAATAAGTGAGAACATTCGGTTTGTCCTGTGCCTGGCTTATTTCACTTAACATAATGACCTCCAGTTCCAGCCATGTTGTTGCTGATGACAGGACCTCATTCTTTTTTGATGGCTGAATAGAACTGTATTGTGCATATGTATCCTGTTTTCTTTATCCATTCGTCTGTTCACAGGCACTTAGGTTGCTTCCAAATCTTGGTTTTTGTGAATAGTGCTGCAATAAACATGGAGTGCGTCGCACAGTTTATGTCACAGTTATTTGTATATTTAGATTTTATCCAACATTCTAAAATGTACATTCTGGGAAAATATAAAAACCTTCAAGTTTTCTGGCATAAATTTAAATATTACATATTTGTGTTAATTTTAAGAACTCCCTTTACTATCTTTATTTCTCTTTTTAAGTTTAATATCTCTGTCTTCTCATTTTTCTAGTCCTTCCCAAAAACTTTTTTAAATTTTTAAATTTATTTTTAAAATTTTATTTTTGAGGATTTAGGAGGTACAAGTGCAGGCTTCTCACATGCATACCTTGTATAGTGGTGAAGTCTGGGCTTGTAGTGGACCCATCACCTGAAGAGTGAACATTGCATCCTACAGGTAATTATTCAATCCTCACCCCCTTCCCACATCTTGTAGCCCATTCTGTATGTCCACCTGTGCTCATTGTTTAGTTCCCACTTAGAAGGAAGAACATGTGGCATTTGATTTTCTGTTTCTGAGTTATTTCTCGGGATAATGGCCTCCAGTCCATCCACGTTGCTGCAAAAGACATAATTTCATTCTTCTTCATGGGTAAGTAGTATTCCATGGTATATGCATACCATAGTTTCTTTAGTCCTCTGTTCATGGACATTTAGGTTGATGCCATAACTTTGCTATTATGAATAGTGCTGCAGTAAACATAGGCGTGCAGCTATCTTTTGGATATTATGATTTCTTTCCTTTTGGGTAGATAGTAATGGGATGGCTGGATCAAATCGTAGTCCTATGTTTTGTTCTTTGAGAAATCTCGTCTCTCTAACCCTTCTTCCCTGCTTCTGTCCTTACTCTTCTATAGTCCAGTGGTGATGTAGGCACACGCTTTCTAAACCGCTCTAGCTCCTCCTGGGCAGACTTGATTTTCTAGAAGAGTGTTCTAGGCACAAAAGAGAGAAATAACAAGGCAGGTTTACGTATACCGGCATGGAGACATTGATCAGTGAAAGAAACAGGAAGTTTAGTTTACATTTAACAATACATAGGCATAACTTATACTTGCATTTTTGCATACAACTGGAATAATTAACACCAAACTTGACAATGGCCACGCTGGGGAAGGGGCAGGGAGTGGAGCGTGTTGAGGAGGCTCCCATGTTTTCCTCTCTGCCCTTCTAGATGGTTTACTTCTTTGTAAGCAAAGAGGACTTATGTGTAAGTTGTATACTTTTTCTTAAACAGGGAATTCCCCACTACCCAAATGTCACACACACAGAGACTTGATACGTCCCTTCTCTGT